CACCATCCTCGTGAGGTTCCTACTCGCTACCCCCGGAGTTAATTCCTCCTCCCACCATCCTCGTGAGGTTCCTACTCTATACCCCCGTAGTTTATTCCTCCTCCCACCATCCTCGTGAGGTTCCTACTCGCTACCCCCGGAGTTAATTCCTCCTCCCACCATCCTCGTGAGGTTCCTACTCTATACCCCCGTAGTTTATTCCTCCTCCCACCATCCTCGTGAGGTTCCTACTCGCTACCCCCGGAGTTTATTCCTCCTCCCACCATCCTCGTGAGGTTCCTACTCGCTACCCCCGGAGTTTATTCCTCTTCCCACCATCCTCGTGAGGTTCCTACTCTCTACCCCCGGAGTTTATTCCTCCTCCCACCATCCTCGTGAGGTTCCTACTCACTACCCCCGGAGTTTATTCCTCCTCCCATCATCCTCGTGAGGTTCCTACTCTCTACCCCCGGAGTTTATTCCTCCTCCCACCATCCTCGTGAGGTTCCTACTCGCTACCCCCGGAGTTTATTCCTCCTCCCACCATCCTCGTGAGGTTCCTACTCTATACCCCCGTAGTTTATTCCTCCTCCCACCATCCTCGTGAGGTTTCTACTCGCTACCCCCGGAGTTTATTCCTCCTCCCACCATCCTCGTGAGGTTCCTACTCTCTACCCCCGGAGTTTATTCCTCCTCCCACCATCCTCGTGAGGTTCCTACTCTCTACCCCCGGAGTTTATTCCTCCTCCCACCATCCTCGTGAGGTTCCTACTCTCTACCCCCGGAGTTTATTCCTCCTCCCACCATCCTCGTGAGGTTCCTACTCTCTACCCCCGGAGTTTATTCCTCCTCCCACCATCCTCGTGAGGTTCCTACTCTCTACCCCCGGAGTTTATTCCTCCTCCCACCATCCTCGTGAGGTTCCTACTCTCTACCCCCGGAGTTTATTCCTCCTCCCACCATCCTCGTGAGAGTGTCTGAGGAGGGTTAATATCCGGAAATGTCAGGTTCTCTAAATTAATTAGGAAATTTGTCTAACTCCCTGAGATTACATTGTTGTACAGGCAGATTAAGAGTTACACGGATCATTATGCCAAACAGTAAGATTCATACACACTCGTGTTTAGATTTTACACCCGGGAGAAACTTTACAAACTTCCGGGATACTCACGTTTGACGGAGGAAGATACCGACCAATCACTGTCCGTATCCGGAAACAAACAATTTATGCGCATCTTTTGCATTTAATTATCGGCCTGGAAAGCTGATCCAGAATTAGAGTAATAGGTTGTCACGTGACTGTCACGTGTTTTATGTAAGGGAGACTGGGAACTGGCAAGTTGTTCTCGCTGTGTGCTTACATCTCTGTTGTTTCTCTTGTTTGTGGTGTTGCAGCTACACATGTTAGTTACTGAAGATGATATCACGTGTTATGTTAGTGATAGTTATCAGTAGAGTCTTCTATGGGATTTGAGGGTAAAACCGCCCGGTTCCAACAGATCCAGAGGTTATCTTATGTTGGTAATGAGTGTAGCTCCTAAGAAGCAGTGTGATCACAGTCAGTGGGTAACAGCTCTGTTTAACGAGGTTACAGAAATGTCTTGTTCCGACTCGGAAACTGTTCAGTCCCCAGGCTTCGTTGGGACTTCTCCAGATCAACTCATCTCAACGTCTCCAGACCAACTCATCTCAACGTCTCCTGATCAACTCATCTCAACGTCTCCAGATCAACTCATCTCAACGTCTCCAGATCAACTCATCTCAACGTCTCCTGAATTTCTTAGCAGTCCTCCTGAGTTCCTTATGAGTCCCCCTGACAGCTCCTTTAATTGGTCTGACAGTGTGGGTCAGTGCAAGGAGATATTAACAACCTCCTCTCCTCCCTCCTCCTTCAAAGATCATAGCATCTCGAGTGGAGAGTTTATAATGAACAGTAGCAGTGATGCTATGATCAGTAACAGTAACAGTAAGAGTGACGAGGAGATGGAAACAGTCTCCAGTCTGGTAGCGTCTCAACCCAACTCTGAAACAATCCCCAATAATATCCAGAACATATCACCAGACTCTTGTGAGTTCTGTGACACAGACGAGCTCTTCAGCGATGACACCTCCCAACCAGAGTCTTATTTCCATGGTTACAGCGACTCTTCCCCTGAACTAGAACAGTTAACATCCCCCTCACTCTCCTGTCTCTTCCCCTCCGACATTACCCGCTCTTTACCCGACATCAGGGTCCTAGAGTCACGTGATACCAGAATGTTTGGGTCACGTGAGAGGCTGGCTAGAGGTCTGCTCGTCAGGAAGGTGGTCAGGTCTCTGAGCTACAGAGTGGCTTGTTCTACTGACTCACTTCACCTCTGGTCGTGCTCCAACTCGTCCGGTAACCATCTTCACGGTTGTATCTCCACTGGTAACGTTTCTGACGAAGTATTCTTATCAGACCAGAGTAGTTGCTACGAGGAGCTGATGAAGCCTGATTTCTCTGCTGCTAGGAGAAATAAAGAGTTGTCGGAGCTGATGAAGCCTGATTTCTCTGCTGCTAGGATAAGTAAAGAGTTGCCGGAGGCCCGGTTTGCACTCACTAGATCTCTCCGTCAATCCTTCTTGTCACACCGGGGTGGTGTGTCCAGCGAGTGGAGTGCTTCCAGTGGCTCAGAGGGGTTTGATAACGGGTATCGTAACCTCAACGGTGATCTTGCTTTAGACCACTATAATGACCTTTACTCTGATCATGATAACCTTGCCTCAGACCACGGCAATCATGACTCAGACTTCGATGATAATCCAAATTCAGACTGTAATGAAGACTCTTCAAGTAGACCTCGTAGTCCCGAACAAAAGCCCTCCCAGTCGGTACCATGTTCTCATCAACATTGCACGTGCAAAACCACCGCCGCATGCAGCACGTGCAGAACCACCGCCACATGCAGCACGTGCAAAACCACCGCCACATGCAGCACGTGCAACAACCCAGTAGTCTCTGAAGAGAAGATCTCGTCGCGGAGTCGTAGTAATAGCTACAACAGTGCTTGTGGGGAGGATGAGAACAGATATATTTACCCTAAAATCCTTATCAGTAGAGACTTTCAGCTTCCAGTTAACTTCCTGACAACCAGGCCGGCAAAGGTTAGTCTTCGTTTAGTGACGTCATATCACGTGTATACACGTAATGCCCCGAATTTAATTATATGAAGACGTGTTTTATCAAAGTCACCAATTGCCCTGTCTGGCAGTATCCAATCATTTGGCCTTCCCGACTATGAAATCTGTTAAAACCCTGCAGCTAATATTATGTAAAAACCCATTACAGTCTTTAAAGTTATTTAAGAACTATGCGAGTGTCCAATTAACCATGCTTGCTATTTATAACTCTACTATTGCTAAGTAAGCTTGTGATAAATAATAATATTTTACATGATTAGCTCGCCTTGCTGCTGTTACAGACAGCTTCACGCTCTGGTTGACATTACTTAATCAGTTGTTGACATTACTTAATCAGTTGCCGATATACAATATCTCGTATCTCTGAACATTTTGCGTTGTTTACAACTTTTACAAGAATAGTTTAGGGTTCCGCTGCTAATTGTTCACAAATTAGGTGTTCACAGTCCTATTCTCAAAATTAAATAATTAGTTTAAAATAGGTGGTGATTAGTTAAGTCAGTTAACTCTTACATCTTCACTCTCATCACAGTCGACTAGTTAACTCTTACATCTTCACTCTCATCACAGTCGACTAGTTAACCCTTACATCTTCACTCTCATCACAGTCGACTAGTTAACCCTTAGTAGTACCCTAGTACACCCAATTATTATCGGAGCGGGGTGATGGAAATAATAGGGTCCTTACTTCCTGGCTACCTGGTCCTTCATTAACCCTTAGTACCCTAGTAATGGAAATAATATTACACTAAATAACTGGTTCCTTCCTTCCTGGCTACCTACCTTCATTATACCTACTCAGTCTGAGGAGGGCACAGATTTAGTTGATTCGTCTTATAATTATCATCGCAGTCGCTTTATGTCGGATTATCCTTCTGTTTGATGTCGGATCTTTTATTTTATTCTTCACATAATAACCCTTCTTAGTGCCCACTCTCGAAACATGGCAGCCTCTTATCACGTGATTTGATGTCCCTACAACTCAGTCAACATCTGCAGTCTGTTAAAACACACAGTGACATTAAAAGTGGAGCAGAGGTAACATCCATGACATCAAAGAGCAGCACCATGGCAACGAAGAGCAGCACCATGGCAACGAAGAGCAGCACCATGGCAACGAAGAACAGCACCATGACAACGAAGAGCAGCTCTATGGCATCAAAGAGCAGCTCTATGGCAACGAAGAGCAGCACCATGGCAACGAAGAACAGCACCATGGCAATGAAGAACAGCACCATGGCAACGAAGAACAGCACCATGGCAACGAAGAGCAGCACCATGACAACGAAGAGCAGCACCATGACAACTATGGGAGATTTTATGACAACTAGCAGTAGCAGTGACCAAAGTGTAGCTACTAACTCTGCAGCTAACTCTAAGATGAGGCAGAACTCTGCAGCTACTAAAACCTCTACTAAAAGAGCAGTCTCCAGCACGAAACAGACTAGACAGACATCTTCCTCTGCTGAGTCAGTTGCTTCATTAGAGAAGGTACGATCTGTTTGTTGGTTCTACTGAGGGTGCTGCTGGGATGTGAGTAGGTTGTAGGTGGAGGGTTCTCAGTTAGTGGAGTTAGGAGGGTTTATTACCTCCTAAATAAGGAGTCCTTATTCATCGTGAAGTTAGTTTTGGGCGGTTTGGAAGTGTTGCCAAGGTTTCAAAGCTATAATTTAGTTAAAAGCTTTTCTTCGTACTCGCCTATCCTGTAATGAGGATACTGCCGCAATAACTTGTCCTTTTTAGGACGTATAGTCCCAATAGTATTACAAGTATTATCATTATAGTTTTGGTAGTGAAATTTTAAAAAATTATAAAAAGATATTAATAGTTTTGAAATTAACAGTTTATTGTTATTGCAGGATCTGCAGAGTGAGTTACGTACGATAGGAGAGGACATTACCAGTGTAGAACAGTTCGCAGGGAAGCTAGATCAGATAATGCCAGGACAAACCCACAACTCTCAGAACTTACGGGACAACTTCAACAAGTTAGTACAGAGTCAAACTTAGCTTAGAGACAACTTCAGCAATTTAGTCACGAACTAGTGCTACTGTTGATTCAGCATCTTTTTTATTATAATGTTAAACCTTAGTCTCACTGATATTTACGCTCCCTTTTATTTGTATGAGTATTTTAATTGCAGAGGGCATTTGGGGTAACCAAAGGGTCAAATTTAATCATAAAATCAGTGATGGTTTCTGTAAATTGTGCGTGCACACTACACACTACACACTACACACTGTCTGTATAGCTATAATCTATAAGTTGTCTACATGATGTCTGTCTGCTGTCTGTCTGCTGTCTACATGCTAGGATGTGTTCGCTTAAAAGTCTCCCTCTCGCACAATACGCATTATATTAGAGCATCCCTCATATTGTACAGTCACACTATTTTCTAAGTGACCACGTGTATGTAACTACTATTTACATTTTCCTACACGCTTGTTTTGTAAACAATTAAGTAACTTGTTTTGAAGTAGTTAGCTGATACGATCCTTGTTGATTGACTATAACACTTGCTTGTAAAGTGAACTTTTCTCTTTTCTTACTTCAACATCAAGTAAGCTTATTCACATTCAGAGAGTATCAATCTGTTGTTTCAATGTATTATGTGTATATATGTGTTTCAATGTATTATGTGTATATATATGTATATATATATAACAATGGATTGTTTAATAAATAAACCAGAACTACTTGTGTTATGCAGTAAGCCGTCCAAACTGTCTGCTTGTTGTGAGACCGCCAATGACTTGTTCGTAAAAGTTACAGGTTTGCGTCCGGGACTCTACGACGCGAGACCCGCCGTAGAGTCTCACGCCGTAGAGTCCGGACCCCGTACAACTCCCCAATATTATCAAGCAACATACTTCAGTTTATCAGCCCGTGTGGGTGAGAAGTCAAACTATTTGGAGGTGGAGAGTAACAAATTCCTCAAGTTCCGTCAGGACTACAATGAGCTAGGTGAGCTGAATATCACGTGTTATCGCGCGTTACCACGTGTTATCGCGCGTTACCACGTGTTATCGCGCGTTACCACGTGTTATTGCGCGTTAGCACGTGTTATCGCGCGTTACCACGTGTTATTGTGGGTTAGCACGTTTTAATGCGAGTTATAACGTGTTATTGCGGGTTAGCACGTTTTATCGCGGGACAATGTTTAACGTGTATATATAAAAAGACACGGAAGAAAATTATCCTTCACCTTTTGTTAGAGTGATAACATGTGCAAGTATAAATGGTGTTCTAACATTTACAACTCACAGGGGCATGGCTACAGACAGCTCTAAATGACGGGCCCAGTGAAGAAAGTAACACAGCAGACTCTTTAGGAAGCTTACAACGCTCCCAGAACATCTACAACACGTTAGTATTGTACTTAGAGATCACTCCTTTTTTAATGAAGAATGTTATCAATTTTGGGGTTTCAACAGTTCGGTTGCGTTATGAGACCACGTGACTAATGACTATACTATTGACTGCCTATATATATAAGTATATACTATATTACGTGACAGGTACAAGACTAGAGTAGACGAGCTGAGCGTGTTAAAACTGAAACTAGACAATGTTATAGCGTACGGAAGAGACCTACTGATACATCTCTCTCCCTCTGCTGCAAAACAACTCACGTGAGTATACAGTAAACTGACGTCATCAGATATCACGTGACGTCATCAGATATCACGTGACGTCATCAAATATCACGGGTTTCTACTGTTTGGTTGTGTTGCTTATACGTCACGTGACAAATAAGCTAATAAGATATTTTTACAGGAGTGATCTGACAATACTACACACGTTGTGGGAAAAGCTAGACGAGGAAGTGAGAAGTAGATACAGTGAAGTTAACATAGCATTAGAGGGACTCCTCAACCTGCAGGACCACACTAACACTATCACAACCTGGTTAGAAGGGTTGAGTAGAAGAGAGAGTACACACCAACCTGAGGGAGGGGACCAGTACACTAGACATGTGCAACTCTACCATGGTTACATCGACCAGCTTAACACTCAGGTATATCACAATTGTGTGGTTATGTCTTGTTATGGTTATGTGTTGTTACAGAAACGTGTTGCTATGGTTGTATGTTTTTACAGAAACGTGTTGTTAAGGTAACGTGTTGCTATGGTTATGTGTTTTTACACAAACGTGTTGTTAAGGTAACGTGTTGTTAAGGTAACGTGTTGTTAAGGTAACGTGTTGTTAAGGTAACGTGTTGTTAACCTCCCTTTTCTCCAGTCAGCGGAAATACAGTCTACTCGACAACTCTCTCACCAGTTGATGGGATCACTAGATTCTAGTTACGAGCAGTTCATTTCCTGCCAGTTTGAGACTTGTAACGGTCGATGGGTTCAGCTCTCTGATAAGGTAACTCTATGTCACGTGACATTCATTATCGCGTGACGTCATTTAATATTCACTGTCACGTGACGTGACTAGAAGCTAACTCAGGGCTACTCATCTTGAAGTCTTATTAATATTATCATGTTTGACTACTAGAAATATTGGATAATAAATAGTACGTTAACTTTAATTGCACTTCAGATCACACGTAAATCAGAGCGATGTCGCCACTTGCAAGACCTTCAAGCGTCACTTCGTGGTCACGAGGTCATGATGTCACAGTTTGACACTATGCTGAAGGAGCTGGAGTTATTGTTGCGTAGTGAAGGCTATGATAAGAGTTTTATAACCGGGTTACCAGGACTACACGACCAGATCACCGCCTCCCTACAGCTGGTTAGTTTTACATTGAGCCTCCTTACAGCTGGTTAGTTTTACATTGAGCCTCCCTACAGCTGGTTAGTTTTACATTGAGCCTCCCTACAGCTGGTTAGTTTTACATTGAGCCTCCCTACAGCTGGTTAGTTTTACATTGAGCCTCCCTACAGCTGGTTAGTTTTACATTGAGCCTCCCTACAGCTGGTTAGTTTTACATTGAGCCTCCCTACAGCTGGTAAGTTTTACATTGAGCCTCCCTACAATTGGTTAGTTTTACATTGAGCCTCCCTACAATTGGTTAGTTTTACATTGAGCCTCCCTACAGCTGGTAAGTTTTACATTGAGCCTCCCTACAGCTGGTTAGTTTTACATTGAGCCTCCCTACAGCTGGTTAGTTTTACATTGAGCCTCCCTACAGCTGGTTAGTTTTACATTGAGCCTCCCTACAGCTGGTTAGTTTTACATTGAGCCTCCCTACAGCTGGTTAGTTTTACATTGAGCCTCCCTACAGCTGGTTAGTTTTACATTGAGCCTCCCTACAGCTGGTTAGTTTTACATTGAGCCTCCCTACAGCTGGTTAGTTTTACATTGAGCCTCCCTACAGCTGGTTAGTTTTACATTGAGCCTCCCTACAGCTGGTAAGTTTTACATTGAGCCTCCCTACAATTGGTTAGTTTTACATTGAGCCTCCCTACAATTGGTTAGTTTTACATTGAGCCTCCCTACAGCTGGTTAGTTTTACATTGAGCCTCCCTACAATTGGTTAGTTTTACATTGAGCCTCCCTACAGCTGGTAAGTTTTACATTGAGCCTCCCTACAGCTGGTTAGTTTTACATTGAGCCTCCCTACAGCTGGTTAGTTTTACATTGAGCCTCCCTACAGCTGGTAAGTTTTACATTGAGCCTCCCTACAGCTGGTTAGTTTTACATTGAGCCTCCCTACAGCTGGTTAGTTTTACATTGAGCCTCCCTACAGCTGGTTAGTTTTACATTGAGCCTCCCTACAGCTGGTTAGTTTTACATTGAGCCTCCCTACAGCTGGTTAGTTTTACATTGAGCCTCCCTACAGCTGGTTAGTTTTACATTGAGCCTCCCTACAGCTGGTTAGTTTTACATTGAGCCTCCCTACAGCTGGTTAGTTTTACATTGAGCCTCCCTACAGCTGGTTAGTTTTACATTGAGCCTCCCTACAGCTGGTAAGTTTTACATTGAGCCTCCCTACAATTGGTTAGTTTTACATTGAGCCTCCCTACAATTGGTTAGTTTTACATTGAGCCTCCCTACAGCTGGTTAGTTTTACATTGAGCCTCCCTACAGCTGGTTAGTTTTACATTGAGCCTCCCTACAGCTGGTAAGTTTTACATTGAGCCTCCCTACAGCTGGTTAGTTTTACATTGAGCCTCCCTACAGCTGGTTAGTTTTACATTGAGCCTCCCTACAGCTGGTTAGTTTTACATTGAGCCTCCCTACAGCTGGTTAGTTTTACATTGAGCCTCCCTACAGCTGGTTAGTTTTACATTGAGCCTCCCTACAGCTGGTTAGTTTTACATTGAGCCTCCCTACAGCTGGTTAGTTTTACATTGAGCCTCCCTACAGCTGGTTAGTTTTACATTGAGCCTCCCTACAGCTGGTTAGTTTTACATTGAGCCTCCCTACAGCTGGTTAGTTTTACATTGAGCCTCCCTACAGCTGGTTAGTTTTACATTGAGCCTCCCTACAATTGGTTAGTTTTACATTGAGCCTCCCTACAATTGGTTAGTTTTACATTGAGCCTCCCTACAGCTGGTTAGTTTTACATTGAGCCTCCCTACAGCTGGTTAGTTTTACATTGAGGCTTACCTTACTTTACTTTCAAGCTGATGAAGATGACAGCAAATTGTCAATACTTATATATTTTTCAGATATTTTGGGTTTTTAAAGTTTACAATAAGCGTCTCTTAAAATTTACGTACAACATGCTACATGATAGAACTATACTTACTCCTACACTAATACCAGGTGGGCTCGCTAGAGAAGGAGTGCGGGCAACTACAACTAGAGGACAGTGTGTGTAGTTGTGGGCTGGAGATATCACTGGGAACTACTAGCAGCAAGTGTAGAACTAAGTGCCAACTTCTACTGGAACTCCTCTCTAAATATCAGGTACGTGATATCTTAACACGTCATCTTCGAACGTCATCACATCAGAACGTGACGTCATCGCAACATAACGTGACGTCATCGCAAAATAACGTGACGTCATCACAACATAACGTGACGTCATCACAACATAACGTGACGTCATGACAACATAACCTGACGTCATCACAACATACCGTGACGTCATGACAACATACCGTGACGTCATGACACTAATACCCACTACTACAGGGTGATCTAGACGCGCACCTGAGGGATGTTAAACTGTGCACTGCTCTGTACTCTGAACTGACTACTGAACTTGGTGTGATAGCAGGACACGTGTTATCAGCACTGAGCAACACTTCTCTTCCTATAGCAGACAGAGTAAGTTTACAGTAAATTTACAAAATGTAAATTACTACTTCATTTTTAAGTTTAGTGTTAATTATAGATTTTATTTAACATTCACTCCTAGTCCTACAATTTGATGTATGAGACGAGTGATAAACAGGAATAAAAAACGAAACAGGATCGGTTATTAATTTTATAAAAATATGTTTGTTTCAAAGACCAGAAGGCCACCCATAAGGGCTTTTGAGCAGTATACACAATTTAATTTAAACAAAATTAAGTTGGTATCCCTGGAAACGACCTGCACCTATACTTACAATAACACAGTAGAAGGCTGCGTTAACGAAGATTAACACATGTATTGATAATTTGTGTAACAATTCTTAGAACTTAATAAACAACTCCAGTAACTATTTAGTAAGTCAAATAACTGTCTTTATATTACAAACGTAATAGCATACTTCACGAGATATTCACGAGCATCTCAAGTAACAACATTATACAGTGTATTCTGTGTAAAATTATCTTTATCCCGGTTGTTGCGACAAGTGAAAATGCTCTTATTAGGGAAAGGAGTTTACTCGACGTTTCAATGTAACTACATCGTATTCATCGTATAACAACAGGGATAAAGATAATTTTACACAGAATACATTACAACAATGCGACTCATAAATAATACTCCAATCCGGATTTTACACTTTATACAGTAGAACAGTATTAGTAGTAGTATAGTAACAGTATCTTTCATCATCACTAACTCACAAGCGAAGTTATTTTACCCAAATCAAGGAACGGAAGGGTCCGGTAATATACGGTGGTGTGTTTTGGTGGTTTCATCAGCTGCTCCTGTCTTTAAAGCTTGTTCAGGTCCTGTCTTTAAAGCTTGTTCAGCTAATATATCGTCTATCTGAGCTCTACTTGCTACTACCCCTTTCCTCAGACTTACCGTAGCTATCAGTCCCCCTGCCCTGCACACCTTCTTGTGCTTGTTGCTGTGCCTGACAGCTTGTTGGTTGCCAGGACAACATGCTACAAAGGTATTGAGCAGGTGCCCTATTAGTGCTATTACTCCCAGTACTATTACAGCGTAGGGTTGGTCTATGGGTTCCTTGTGGTACATCTCCCTCTCTTCCCACCCCATCTTCTTTAACATTTGCACGTAGTTTAACACTGGGTCCAGGTCCTTTATTTGCTTTCCTACCACTCCTAGTGTTCCTATTGCTGGTAATTAGTTAATTAGTTAATTAGTTAATTAGTTAATTAGTTAATTAGTTAGACTAGCTCAATTGTGTGGTAATATCCAGAGATTAAAGTGGATTTTTAAATCAGTTAATCAGAAAAACCAAGTTTTAGTAATCTATACTAATAATCCTTAAAAGTTTGTGGGTTCGTGGGAAATTTCCGATAGTGACGTCCCGGCCGTAGGCACGGGTTACAGTAGTACTATAATATATTCATTGGTATAAAGAAGACAAACTTGCTGATTTTATCTTGTCAGTTAAATATGAAATAAGACCAGTATTTGTATCTTGTACATATAATTGTAAGTAATTAAATACATACACGAGAGGAGACCCACAACTATCATAGCAGTCCTAGCATTCTTGTGATCTGTAGGAATATAGGGTATTAATAACGCTATCATAGCAGTTCTAGCATTCTTGTGATCTGTAGGAATATAGGGTATTAATAACGCTAGGTTACTAAGGTGTTACTAGGGTGTTACTAGGGTGTTACTAAGGTGTTACTAGGGTGTTACTAGGGTGTTATTAGTGAATAGAGGGTGTTAATAGTAAGTTTTATCATTTTGAGAATCTTATTCGAAATATTTTCCATACATTTGAAGTGCTAAGTAAGAATTTAAATCTGTTCTTCAAAAGGATTGATCTAACGTTTTCCGTATAATATCTTCATTGTCAAAAAAATAATTGAAATTAATAAATAAAATTAATAACTCACGCTTCTTATAACAAAGGCAATCTGAATCTGAAAATGAAAATACGTTCAATTTTATTGCCTTGGTTCTGATTTGTTGCCATAGTTACTTAATTTTGACATGTGATCCCAATGTTTGTGTTGGTATCATAATTACAGTAAAACATGTTAAATGTTAAGCAAACACTTGCGTACCACCCAACATCTGAGCTATCGGGTGTTACTAGGGTGTTACTAAGGTGTTACTAGGGTGTTACTAAGGTGTTACTAGGGTGTTACTAGGGTGTTACTAGGGTGTTACTAAGGTGTTACTAGGGTGTTACTAGGATGTTACTAAGGTGTTACTAGGGTGTTACTAGGGTGTTACTAGGGTGTTACTAAGGTGTTACTAAGTACGTACCTCCCAACATCTGAGCTATTCTGAGTGAGGTGAGAATGCAATCAGCCCCCAACAATATCAGGTACACTGTACAAATTGAGGAACCTGAAAATAGTCAGAAAAAGAGAATAGAATTAATCATGCAATTATTTGGAGTTTGTCTTGCAAATGGTGTTCATATTTCAATTATTGATAATTTATTGATGAACCGAACATGGTTAAAAGATTTCGCTTCGAGTCACGATTTCAAAATGCAAATAATCTGTGAAAATGTAGTTACCCAAATGTATTTATATTAAGTTAGTCACTAATAATAAGGTTTACATTTAGGTACTCACTTTGAGCGTCCACTCCGAGTAACATAATAGCGATAGTTAACTGAGCAACAGTAGCGGCGCACACTGCCATAGCCCCGATTACAAAAGACATGTGTAAACTGAGCTAATCTAGCTGGAGGTGTATATCATAGTCATGATAATATACAGGAACAACGGTTTATATTGATAATTGAAAACCATCTAAAAATTGTTACAGTAAGTGAAGATAACCTATCTATAAGTGAACTGCAAAAGGATCGCGTCATGTTAAAAGATACTAGTACATGACATTGCTGTTATACACAGCACAAAACAGAGGATAACTTAAGAAAATACAGTATGTTTGGTGTTTAGAGTGACTAACCTTTGTTCTCCCTCTGTCGTACAGTCATTGTGAATCAGCTTTGTTCGGTGGTACAATCTTTGTGACCCCGACTAATTTGTATTGATTGAAGTACAATAGCAAGCATTTAGAATATAATAATACCTAGCACACCATTCCTCGTACATAGCTGGTTCTGTGTGTGTATGTATGTGTGTGTGTATAATTTAAAGGTGTTTGGACAGTGGCTCATTACTGAATTACTGAATTAATCTTCTTATAACCCAAACTCTAACGCTGACCCTAAACATGGAACTAAAACATTTTAGGGTTATACGGGTTCCTGCTAGTGGAACTAAAACGTATCATATACCAAAACCCTTCAGGTTTAGACTCCAGTTTTCATGTCAGTTCAATTTAATTTTTGTGATATTTTTAGACGGAATAAAACAGGTTCACTGTTTAAACATTATCTACTCCATAACAATCTCAGCAAATACAGGGTGTACTGCATAAAATAAGTGCAAATCAGAAACATCAGTAAAGGGATAATTACCGTAAATATATTTCATAGAATGAATAGATAAGAATGAAGGCGTCCATTCAAAATCAAAACTAAATTGAACACAAGTTGGACGGTGGAATGCACTGCATTTTTTGAATTCCATTTTTTAATTAAACTTAATATTCTACAATCTCAAAAGTCATAGTTCTGCATATATAGTAGAAATATCCAACAGTTTGTGTTGGAATTCGAAGAGAGAAGATTGAACTAGATTTACATAAAAATAATAAAGCGTAATTTGTCAGTCCATGATAACCCTCAGTCTAGAAAGTCGAATCTTTATCTACTTCCTAACAGTACCTCATTAACATGAGTTCTTAGTAACCTCTTAGTAACCGCGCGATACTAACTCCTCTACTTGTTATCCCCTAGTAACCGCGCGTTACTAACTCCTCTGCTTGTTATCCCCTAGTAACCTCCTAGTAACCGCGCGTTACTAACTCCTCTACTTGTTATCCCCTAGTTACCTCCTAGTTACCGCGCGATACTAACTCCTCTACTTCTTGCCCCCTAGTTACCTCCTAGTAACCGCACGTTACTAACTCCTCTACTTGTTATCCCCTAGTAACCGCGCGTTACTAACTCCTCTACTTGTTATCCCCTAGTTACCTCCTAGTTACCGCGCGATACTAACTCCTCTACTTCTTGCCCCCTAGTTACCTCCTAGTAACCGCACGTTACTAACTCCTCTACTTGTTATCCCCTAGTAACCGCGCGTTACTAACTCCTCTACTTGTTATCCCCTAGTTACCTCCTAGTTACCGCGCGATACTAACTCCTCTACTTCTTGCCCCCTAGTTACCTCCTAGTAACCGCACGTTACTAACTCCTCTACTTGTTATCCCCTAGTAACCGCGCGTTACTAACTCCTCTACTTGTTATCCCCTAGTTACCTCCTAGTAACCGCGCGTTACTAACTCCTCTACTTGTTATCCCCTAGTTACCTCCTAGTTACCGCGCGATACTAACTCCTCTACTTCTTGCCCCCTAGTTACCTCCTAGTAACCGCACGTTACTAACTCCTCTACTTGTTATCCCCTAGTAACCGCGCGTTACTAACTCCTCTACTTGTTATCCCCTAGTTACCTCCTAGTTACCGCGCGATACTAACTCCTCTACTTCTTGCCCCCTAGTTACCTCCTAGTAACCGCGCGTTACTAACTCCTCTACTTCTTGCCCCCTAGTTACCTCCTAGTAACCGCACGTTACTAACTCCTCTACTTGTTATTCCCTAGTAACCTCCTAGTAACCGCGCGTTACTAACTCCTCTACTTGTTATCCCCTAGTTACCTCCTAGTTACCGCGCGATACTAACTCCTCTACTTCTTGCCCCCTAGTTACCTCCTAGTAACCGCACGTTACTAACTCCTCTACTTGTTATCCCCTAGTAACCGCGCGTTACTAACTCCTCTACTTGTTATCCCCTAGTTACCTCCTAGTTACCGCGCGATACTAACTCCTCTACTTCTTGCCCCCTAGTTACCTCCTAGTAACCGCGCGTTACTAACTCCTCTACTTGTTATCCCCTAGTTACCTCCTAGTAACCGCACGTTACTAACTCCTCTACTTGTTATCCCCTAGTAACCTCCTAGTAACCGCGCGTTACTAACTCCTCTACTTGTTATCCCCTAGTTACCTCCTAGTTACCGCGCGATACTAACTCCTCTACTTCTTGCCCCCTAGTTACCTCCTAGTAACCGCGCGTTACTAACTCCTCTGCTTGTTATCCCCTAGTAACCTCTTAGTAACCGCGCGTTACTAACTCCTCTACTTGTTATCCCCTAGTTACCTCCTAGTTACCGCGCGATACTAACTCCTCTACTTCTTGCCCCCTAGTTACCTCCTAGTAACCGCGCGTTACTAACTCCTCTACTTGTTCTCCCCTAGTTACCTCCTAGTAACCGCGCGATACTAACTCCTCTACTTCTTGCCCCCTAGTTACCTCCTAGTAACCGCGCGTTACTAACTCCTCTACTTGTTCTCCCCTAGTTACCTCCTAATAACCGCGCGTTACTAACTCCTCTACTTGTTATCCCCTAGTTACCTCCTAGTAACCGCGCGTTACCAACTCCTCTACTTGTTATCCCCGTTGCAGAAGCAAGCTATGGCCGTATTGACCACATGCCCAGGCAGTGCAATGGCTCCCAGTACTATCATAGCCCAGTACATATCAGTATACAGGATAATCACCCCGTACGGTAGGTCGAGGTAGATCTTGTAGTTTATCTTAACCTCATAGTCTATGTCCACAACGAAGGTGTCGTTGAGTATATTGGTCCTGTTCTGGGAGGGTGACATACCACTGAGGCTCTCGTAGAAGTCGTTAACGTGACCTGTAGTGTTGATCAGGTCCTTTATGTGCAGTGAGAGGAGCACTAACGTTCCTATACCTGAAATAAAGTGGGTTTTATTAAATAAAAAGATAAGAGGATATTGTTGATGAGATTAGTAACTGTAGTCAAGAGTAACCATAATAATCGTAGTAACCCGAGTAACTGCAGTCTACTAAAGGTGATACTCATTTATACTGACTAATGATGAGTTTCTATAACACTTACATGCGACGAGACCCAGACTGATTGTACTGATTCGGATTATTTTGGAATCTGAGAAAAAAGATTGTTAATATTGAGAAGGACATCTATCAAACAAGATACACAGTCTGATATAGTACCAATATATCCTGATAAAGCATGGCTCTTTAATAGCAGCCTATTACAGTACCCACAGTGTAAATAATACTCACTCTCAGTGTAGAAGGAAGCCACCCCACCTGAGATGTAGAATATTAGTTACCAAATTAACCCTTAGTGGGTACATGTTGTTTATGTAAAGTAAGTAACCCTTAGTGGGAACATGTTGTTTATGAACCCATCAACAAATCTGAAAATCCTGGACAATTATCAGTTTCCCGAACAGCTCTGTTCTCAAGACAAAACACGTGTTATTAGTGAACACACTGAGTTAATGCAGTTAACTCACCGCAACATATCTGACCAAGTCTGAAGACCAGCAGGGTGGTGGCTATTGCGAACAGCAGTGTGTAGAATATCCCTGCCCATGTTTCTGAAATTAGTTAATTAGATAAATTAACATTTATCCATCCATTTATTCGAAGAAATGTTCACGTTAAGTAAGGTCTCTAAACATTAGTTATAATGTGATATTCACGTTTAGTAAGGTCTCTAAACATTAGTTATAATGTAATATTCACGTTTAGTAAGGTCTCTAAACATTTGTTATAATGTAATATTCACGTTTAGTAAGGTCTCTAAACATTTGTTATAATGTGATAATGTTCACGTTAAGTAAGGTCTCTAAACATTAGTTATAATGTGATAATGTTCACGTTAAGTAAGGTCTCTAAACATTAGTTATAATGTAATATTCACGTTTAGTAAGGTCTCTAAACATTAGTTATAATGTGATAATGTTCACGTTAAGTAAGGTCTCTAAACATTAGTTATAATGTGATATTCACGTTAAGTAAGGTCTCTAAACATTAGTTATAATGTAATATTCACGTTAAGTAAGGTCTCTAAACATTAGTTATAATGTGATAATATTCACGTTTAGTAAGGTCTCTAAACATTAGTTATAATGTAATATTCACGTTAAGTAAGGTCTCTAAACATTAGTTATAATGTAATATTCACGTTAAGTAAGGTCTCTAAACATTAGTTATAATGTGATAATATTCACGTTTAGTAAGGTCTCTAAACATTAGTTATAATGTAATATTCACGTTAAGTAAGGTCTCTAAACATTAGTTATAATGTAATATTCACGTTAAGTAAGGTCTCTAAACATTAGTTATAATGTGATAATATTCACGTTTAGTAAGGTCTCTAAACATTAGTTATAATGTAATATTCACGTTAAGTAAGGTCTCTAAACATTAGTTATAATGTAATATTCACGTTAAGTAAGGTCTCTAAACATTAGTTATAATGTGATAATATTCACGTTTAGTAAGGTCTCTAAACATTAGTTATAATGTAATATTCACGTTAAGTAAGGTCTCTAAACATTAGTTATAATGTAATATTCACGTTAAGTAAGGTCTCTAAACATTAGTTATAATGTAATATTCACGTTAAGTAAGGTCTCTAAACATTAGTTATAATGTGATAATATTCACGTTTAGTAAGGTCTCTAAACATTAGTTATAATGTAATATTCACGTTAAGTAAGGTCTCTAAACATTAGTTATAATGTGATATTCACGTTAAGTAAGGTCTCTAAACATTAGTTATAATGTAATATTCACGTTAAGTAAGGTCTCTAAACATTAGTTATAATGTGATAATATTCACGTTTAGTAAGGTCTCTAAACATTAGTTATAATGTAATATTCACGTTAAGTAAGGTCTCTAAACATTAGTTATAATGTAATATTCACGTTAAGTAAGGTCTCTAAACATTAGTTATAATGTAATATTCACGTTTAGTAAGGTCTCTAAACATTAGTTATAATGTAATATTCACGTTAAGTAAGATCTCTAAACATTAGTTATAATGTGATAATGAAACTTACTGTCTGCCTTGCCCCCAAGTATGAGTATAGTAATGATGAGCTGAGCTACAGCTGCTACCCCCACTCCTACAGCTCCTATCAGTGCTGACATCATCTTCTCAACTATAAAACAACTCTGACTGTTATCGTTTACTGTATACGCGTGGGGCATCTAGGAGGAATGCGGAACTCGTTTCTTGTGTATTGACATGACAGTATTCTGGAGTCTGGGAAGTAGGCTGATAGCGAGGATTCAGTTACCTTTAACAGACTTAAACGCAAGAACTATTCGAAATGTGATAAGTGTTTGTGTCTGGTCACACAGTTATTCTGAATCTATTTAAAGACACCTCATCATTTGTAAGAAATCAAATACTTTGGACAAGTGCCAGAAAGTCTGATAAAAATGAAAAAGGTTCAAAACAGCACTCGGAAGCATCGGGTTCAAACTAAAAAACTTGAACTGAAACCCTTCTTAAAATGTTCTTGAGCCTTAAAAAGCCCACCAAGCAAATTATTTGTGAAATTTAGATAGTTCTGAATTAGCAACTATGCCTAAATACCATCCAAATATTTGAACAGTGAGATAAAAACACGATGTAAAGCTGCATGGGTAAACGTCTGCGAGAGTTCATACATTGGACTATTCAGTAAAAACAATGTAATAATAACTCAACAATCAAAAATACTAGCACATCAAACACTAGGCTGACGACCTGAGACAAAAGGTTAAATTAAAGTTAATAAAGTTTGGTGAATTATTTGCATTCAGGATTGATCACCACCTTGGGTATATTAAGCCATGAAGGTACACTACCTTAACAATGAGGGTAACATCCTCATTGACCTATATGTCAGGGGTCTCAAGCTATAGAAACTACAAGACAGTGACTTCAACACTGAGATAATGCTGTATTTAGTTCTCAAGTTCATCGCGGCTTTGTTTCTTCTCATAACAGAGCATTCCTACAAAATTGAAAGACAAAACACGTAATTTAGGAATTCATGAGAGCGCTAAACCACGTGGCCAAAAGTCTCACCATGAATTCGATATTATCTCCAAGGTTTATGAATACAGAACTTGTTCTGCAAGGTTTATAAAATATACAGGACTGCAAAACTTTACATTATTAGAGATAATTCTGAAACGCAGCTTGATGAAAAATTTAGCATAACGTTTGGGTTTATAGTCTATTCTCTGTGTTCCTCCACGACTAATATGGTGGTGTAATAACAACTGGGATATATGATATACATCTAAATCTAGACAAATATTCCTTAACAAAAGCTACGATCTGGGTAGTTTGATATATTACTGGTATTGAGGTGTGTGTGTGTCCTAATACAGGGGTACCTCAGGGATCAGTCCTAGGAACCACCATATCTTATCGTTTTAATTACATTTTACATGCTAATAATTTGGCATTGGCTTTTCCTTGATATGTTATGAAAGAGGGGTACCATCAGGGATCATGCTAGGAACCACCATAATACAGGGTTACCTCAGGATCAGTCCTAGGAACCACCATAATACAAGGGGTACCTCGGATCAGTCCTAGAAACACCATAAACAGGGGTACCTCAGGATCAGTCCAAGGAACCACCATAAAACAGGGGTACCTCAGGGATCTCTAGGAACCACCAAAAACAGGGGTACCTCAGGATCAATCCTAGACCACCATAATACAGGGGTACACTCAGGGATCAGTCTAGGAACCACCATAAACAGGTACCTCAGGATCAGTCCTAGAACCCACTATACTACAGGGGTACCACATGGATCATCCTAGGACCACCATAATACAGGGGTACCTAAGGGATCAGTCCTATGAACCACCATAATACAGGGTACCTCAGGGATCAGTCCCTAGGAACCACCATTAATACAGGGGTAACCTCAGGGATCAGTGCTAAGGAACCACCATAATACAGGGGTACCCTCAGGGATCAGTCCTATGAACCACCATAATACAGGGAGTGTACGGCCAGGGATCAGTGTCCTAGGAACCACTTAATACAGGGTACCACAGGGATCATTCCTAGGACCCACCATAATACAGGGGTACCTCGGGGATCATCCTATAACCACCATAATACGGGGTACCTCTGGGATCAGTCCTAGGAACCACCATTATCCAGGTACCTCCAGGATCATGCTAGGACCACCATAATACCAGGGGTACCTCCAGGATCTGCTAGGAACCACCATAATACAGGGGTACCTCAGGGATCATTGTTTTAAACACTAACAGTTTGGTCCTTCCAATATGGTTCGATATGGTATTTATTTAGAATAAAACCACTATTTACCAAAGTAACCACTAGTAACCAATAGTTACCAAAGTAACCCTATTACCCCTAGAAACGCTGCTAGTAACCATAGTAACCATGTCGGCACTGATAGCTGCGATTGGGGTGGGAACTGCTGCTATAGCTCAAATGGTCCTCATGATAATGGTTCTAGGACTCAAAGCATCTGGTAAATCACTCAGCGAGGGAATTAACAACGTCACTCAACTGTAGCTGCATTCATCAAACTTCAATATATCCACTTTTAACTCCAATATCTCCACTTTTAACACCAGTATCTCTACTTTTAACACCAGTATATCCACTTTTAACACCAGTATATCCACTTTTAACACCAATATCTCCACTTTTAACACCAGTATATCCACTTTTAACACCAATATCTCCAATTTTAGCACCAATATCTCTACTTTTAACACCAATATCTCCATTTTTAACACCAATATCTCCACTTTCAGTGACCTGGATTGGTGTTTTACATCTGGTTATGTTCCTCATTGCTCTCGCGCTACTCGGACTAAGAATAGCTCAAATTTGTGCCGGTAAGATTAGCTTAGCTTATCTTCTTTGTAATAGTTAATAAACTGATTTATACAGTAAACTGTGGTACATTAAACTGAATATTGGTCCCATCTTCTATCTAACAGTGGGGGGGGGGTCCAAGGGGAACTTTGGGGAGTTTTGGGGAACTTTTTTTTGGGGAACTTCAGGAAACCTGGGGGACTTTCCCAAAGTTCCCCAAAAAATTATCAATGAAACAAATAATTTTGGGGAATTTTGGGGAACTTTTTTTTGGGGAACTTCAGAAAGTTCCCCAAAATTCCCCAAAATTCCCCAAAGTTCCCCAAAAAAATTATAATGCCAAACAAATTATCATGCTGTATGTATCAACAAGTAAGTTAAGATTATACCTTATAATAACATACATGTTAACATTAATGGGTATTAATGTATATTAGAGAAATTTTGAATAATTTTGATTAATTTTGAATAATTTTAAATAATTTTGAATAATTTTGGGGAATTTTGGGGAACTTTGGGGAGTTTTGGGGAACTTTTTTTTGGGGAACTTCAGAAATCTTGGGGGACTTTCCCAAAGTTCCCCAAAGTTCCCCTTGGACCCCCCCCCAACAGTATAAACAATTACAGGTGGAGAGGGGTCCTTCTACAAGAACAGTGAGTAATTCAATAACTAATAAAATTGTAAAATCAAAGGGGGTTTCATAATTTAACTTATCAACAACACTAAGATTTAATAATTTCGAGTTTCATAACGAAAGTGTTTGTTGGATAACACTAAAATCCTCTTCTTATCAGACGTAAAGTGTATCCGTATAGCCACCATCGTACTCGGTTCCGTCTTGGGTAAGTTTTAAAATCAACTTTTGAATCGTTATTTGAGACTTGATTACACGTTCTATATAATTACACTTTCTATCTATTATAATATGAGAAGAATAGATAATCCGAAGTTTTATGTATCACATAATATTAGTAAAATTAATGTAATAACAACTCCGCATTAGTGACTACTAACTAAAACATAACAACTTCTTTATTTCAGCACCACTGATTACTAACAACTTCTTTATTTCAGCACTACTGATGGGTATCATCTTCGTGCTGACAATCCTCCAGGTGATTAAGATACTGAAGTTGAACGACACTCACAACGCGGGCATCCCCATGACAGGTTCCTACATTCTTGTAGTGGTGGGCGCTTTTGCGCTCATTGGCCACCTTGTCAACACCTCTGTAGCTTGCTGCAGTGCAGACAACGGAGATCAGGCTTAGGGGAGTTACTATGGAGGTTACTAGGGAGGTTACTACGGAGGTTACTAGGGAGGTCACTAGGGAGGTCACTAGGGAGTTACTAGGGAGTTACTAGAGAGGTTACTAGAGAGTTACTAGAGAGGTTACTAGAGGAGTTATTAGGGGGTTACTAAGGAGTTACTAAGGAGTAACTAGGGGAAGGGGGTTTAAGTGGGGTTTACTATGGAGTAGTTTTACTATTTACTAGTACAGGTTTACTATGGAGTTGCTGGTAGGGGGAAAGGAACTGTGGGGTTACTTGAAAATTACTAAGAAGTTTCTCTGAAAATCTAAAGACTTATTACTAAGTGTTGAAAGCTGAACTGAAATTTAAATATTGTATTTTATTGTAAAACCTGTTTAATGATATGCTGGGAATTCGATTAATGTGTAAATTGATTGAGTGATATTTTAATTAGTGATAATTCTAAATACGAAACCTTACAAATTGTTAGTGTTTTTCTTGTGAAACTATAATTATTGACGGAACTGCTCATAATATATCAAGGAAAAGCCAATGCCAAATTATTAGCATGTAAAATGTAATTGAAACGATAAAATATGGTGGTTCCTAGGACTGATCCCTGAGGTACCCCTGTATTATGGTGGTTCCTAGGACTGATCCCTGAGGTACCCCTGTATTATGGTGGTTCCTAGGACTGATCCCTGAGGTACCCCTGTATTATGGTGGTTCCTAGGACTGATCCCTGAGGTACCCCTGTATTATGGTGGTTCCTAGGACTGATCCCTGAGGTACCCCTGTATTATGGTGGTTCCTAGGACTGATCCCTGAGGTACCCCTGTATTATGGTGGTTCCTAGGACTGATCCCTGAGGTACCCCTGTATTATGGTGGTTCCTAGGACTGATCCCTGAGGTACCCCTGTAATATGGTGGTTCCTAGCACTGATCCCTGAGGTACCCCTGTATTATGGTGGTTCCTAGGACTGATCCCTGAGGTACCCCTGTATTATGGTGGTTCCTAGGACTGATCCCTGAGGTACCCCTGTATTATGGTGGTTCCTAGGACTGATCCCTGAGGTACCCCTGTATTATGGTGGTTCCTAGGACTGATCCCTGAGGTACCCCTGTATTATGGTGGTTCCTAGGACTGATCCCTGAGGTACCCCTGTATTATGGTGGTTCCTAGCACTGATCCCTGAGGTACCCCTGTATAATGGTGGTTCCTAGGACTGATCCCTGAGGTACCCCTGTATAATGGTGGTTCCTAGGACTGATCCCTGAGGTACCCCTGTATTATGGTGGTTCCTAGCACTGATCCCTGAGGTACCCCTGTATTATGGTGGTTCCTAGCACTGATCCCTGAGGTACCCCTGTATAATGGTGGTTCCTAGGACTGATCCCTGAGGTACCCCTGTATTATGGTGGTTCCTAGGACTGATCCCTGAGGTACCCCTGTATTATGGTGGTTCCTAGGACTGATCCCTGAGGTACCCCTGTATTATGGTGGTTCCTAGCACTGATCCCTGAGGTACCCCTGTATTATGGTGGTTCCTAGCACTGATCCCTGAGGTACCCCTGTATAATGGTGGTTCCTAGGACTGATCCCTGAGGTACCCCTGTATTATGGTGGTTCCTAGGACTGATCCCTGAGGTACCCCTGTATTATGGTGGTTCCTAGGACTGATCCCTGAGGTACCCCTGTATTATAGTGGTTCCTAGGACTGATCCCTGAGGTACCCCTGTATTATGGTGGTTCCTAGGACTGATCCCTGAGGTACCCCTGTATTATGGTGGTTCCTAGCACTGATCCCTGAGGTACCCCTGTATAATGGTGGTTCCTAGGACTGATCCCTGAGGTACCCCTGTATTATGGTGGTTCCTAGGACTGATCCCTGAGGTACCCCTGTATTATGGTGGTTCCTAGGACTGATCCCTGAGGTACCCCTGTATTATAGTGGTTCCTAGGACTGATCCCTGAGGTACCCCTGTATTATGGTGGTTCCTAGGACTGATCCCTGAGGTACCCCTGTATTATGGTGGTTCCTAGGACTGATCCCTGAGGTACCCCTGTATTATGGTGGTTCCTAGGACTGATCCCTGAGGTACCCCTGTATTATGGTGGTTCCTAGGACTGATCCCTGAGGTACCCCTGTATTATGGTGGTTCCTAGGACTGATCCCTGAGGTACCCCTGTATTATGGTGGTTCCTAGGACTGATCCCTGAGGTACCCCTGTATTATGGTGGTTCCTAGCACTGATCCCTGAGGTACCCCTGTATAATGGTGGTTCCTAGCACTGATCCCTGAGGTACCCCTGTATAATGGTGGTTCCTAGGACTGATCCCTGAGGTACCCCTGTATTATGGTGGTTCCTAGGACTGATCCCTGAGGTACCCCTGTATTATGGTGGTTCCTAGGACTGATCCCTGAGGTACCCCTGTATTATAGTGGTTCCTAGGACTGATCCCTGAGGTACCCCTGTATTATGGTGGTTCCTAGGACTGATCCCTGAGGTACCCCTGTATTATGGTGGTTCCTAGGACTGATCCCTGAGGTACCCCTGTATTATGGTGGTTCCTAGCACTGATCCCTGAGGTACCCCTGTATAATGGTGGTTCCTAGCACTGATCCCTGAGGTACCCCTGTATTATGGTGGTTCCTAGCACTGATCCCTGAGGTACCCCTGTATTATGACACACACACACCTCAATACCTGCACCAACATGTCAAACTAGCCAGATCGTAGCTTTTGTCAAGGAATATTTGTCTAGATTTAGATGTATATCATATATCCCAGTTGTTATTACACCACCATATGAGTCGTGGAGGAACACAGACAATAGACTATAAACCCAAACGTTATTGGTTATGCTACATTTTTCTTCAAGCTGCGTTTCAGAATTATCTCTAATAATGTAAAGTTTTGCAGTCCCGTATATTTTATAAACCTTGCAGAATAAGTTTTGTATTCATAAACCTTGCAGATAATATCGAATTCATGGTGAGACTTTTAGCCACGTGGTTCAGCGCTATCATGAATTCCTAAATTATGTGTTTTGTCTTTCAATTTTGTAGGAATGCTCTGTTACGAGAGGAAACAAAGCCGCGATGAACTTGAGAACTAAATACAGCATTATCTCAGTGTTGAAGTCACTGTCTTGTAGTTTCTATAGCTTGAGACCCCTGACATTTAGGTCAATGAGGATGTTACCCTCATTGTTAAGGTAGTGTACCTTCATGGCTTAATATACCCAAGGTGGTGATCAATCCTGAATGCAAATAATTCACCAAACCATATGATTAACTTTAATTTAACCTTTTGTCTCAGGTCGTCAGCCTAGTGTTTGATGTGCTAGTATTTCTGATTGTTGAGTTATTATTACATTGTTTTTACTGAATAGTCCGATGTATGAACTCTCGCAGACGTTTACCCATGCAGCTTTACATCGTGTTTTTTATCTCACTGTTCAAATATTTGGATGGTATTTAGGCATAGTTGCTAATTCAGAACTATCTAAATTTCACCAATAATTAGCTTGGTGGGCTTTTTAAGGCTCAAGAACATTTTAAGAAGGGTTTCAGTTCAAGTTTTTTTAGTTTGAACCCAATGCTTCCGAGTGCTGTTTTGAACCTTTTTCATTTTGATCAGACTTTCTGGCACTTGTCCAAAGTATTTGATTTCTTATAAACGATGAGGTGTCTCTAAATAGATTCAGAATAACTGTGTGACCAGACACAAACACTTATCACATTTCAAATAGTTCTTGCGTTTAAGTCATACTGTTAAAGGTAACTGAATCCTCGCTATCAGCCTACTTCCCAAACTCCAGAATATGGTCATGTCAATACACAAGAAACGAGCCTAACTACTTCCCAAACTCCAGAATATGGCCATGTCAATACACAAGAAACGAGTTCCGCATTCCTCCTAGATGCCACACGCTTACACTGTAAACGATAACAGTCAGAGTTGTTTTATAGTTGAGAAGATGATGTCAGCACTGATTGGAGCTGTAGGGGTGGGGGTTGCAGCTGTAGCTCAGCTCATCATTACTATACTCATACTTGGGGGCAAGGCAGACAGTAAGTTTCATTATCACATTATAACTAATGTTTAGAGACCTTACTAAACGTGAACATTTCTTCGAATAATTGCATGGATAAATGTTAATTTATCTACCTTACTCGGGAATATTATAGCGGGTTAATTTATGACTGGGAAAATTAATGACCGGGAAAAATATGGCGGAATTTTCCAAAACCCACCAAGCATCAAAATGTATTACTATTAGTTTACCTTACTCGGGAATCTTATAGCGGGTTAATTTATGACTGGGAAAATTAATGACCGGGAAAAATATGGCGGAATTTTCCAAAACCCACCACTTTATCCCAGTCATAATATTCCCGAGTAAGGTAATTAATTAATTTCAGAAACATGGGCTGGGATATTCTACACACTGCTGTTCGTAATAGCCACCACCCTGCTGGTTTTCAGACTTGGTCAGATATGTTGCGGTGAGTTAACTGCATCTACTCAGTGTGTTCACTAATAACACGTCGTTGTTCTTCAGAACAGAGCTGTTCAGAACAATTTCGGGAAACTGATAATTGTCCAGGATTTTAAGATTTGTTGATGGCTTCATAACCAACATGTACCCACTAAGGGTTACTTACTTTACATAAACAACATGTACCCACTAAGGGTTACTTACTTTACATAAACAACATGTACCCACTAAGGGTTACTTACTTCACTTTACTTGTTAATTAACATAAACAACATGTACCCACTATACTAAGGGTTAATTTGGTAACTAATATTTTACATCCCAGGTGGGGTGGCTTCCTTCTACACTGAGAGTGAGTATTATTTACACTGCGGGTACTGTAATAGGCTGCTATTAAAGAGCCATGCTTTATCAGGATATATTGGTACTGTATCAGACTGTGTAGTGTGTATATTGTTTGATAGATGTCCTTCTCAATATTAACAATCTTTTTTCTCAGATTCCAAAATAATTCGAATCAGTACAATCAGTCTGGGTCTCGTCGCATGTAAGTGTTATAGAAACTCATCATTAGTAAGTATACTCATAAATGAGTATCATTTTCACCTTTATTAGACTGCGGTTACTCGGGTTACTACGATTACTATGGTTACTCTTGACTACAGTTACTAATCTCATCAGCAATATCCTCTTATCTTTGTATTTAACAATACCCACTTTATTTCAGGTATAGGAACGTTAGTGCTCCTCTCACTGCACATAAAGGACCTCATCAACACAACTGGTCACGTGAATGACTTCTACGAGAGCCTCAGTGGCATGTCACCCTCCCAGAACAGGACCAATATACTCAACGACACCTTCGTTGTGGACATAGACTATGAGGTTAAGATAAACTACAAGATCTACCTCGACCTGCCGTACGGGGTGATTATCCTGTATACTGATATGTACTGGGCTATGATAGTGCTGGGGGCTATTGCACTGCCTGGGCATGTGGTCAATACGGCCATAGCTTGCTTCTGCAACGGGGATAACAAGTAGAGGAGTTAGTAACGCGCGGTTACTAGGGGATAACAAGTAGAGGGGTTAGTAACGCGCGGTTACTAGGAGGTAAATAGGGGATAACAAGTAGCGGAGTTAGTAACGCGCGGTTACTAGAAGGTTACTAGGGGATAACAAGTAGAGGAGTTAGTAACGCTCGGTTACTAGGAGGTTACTAGGGGATAACAAGTAGAGGAGTTAGTATCGCGCGGTTACTAGGAGGTTACTAGGGGATAACAAGTAGAGGAGTTAGTAACGCGCGGTTACTAGGAGGTAACTAGGTGATAACAAGTAGAGGAATTAGTAACGCGCGGTTACTAAGAGGTTACTAGGGGATAACAAGTAGAGGAGTTAGTAACGCGCGGTTACTAAGAGGTTACTAGGGGATAACAAGTAGAGGAGTTAGTAACGCGCGGTTACTAAGAGGTTACTAGGGGATAACGAGTAGAGGAGTTAGTAACACGCGGTTACTAGGAGGTTACTAGGGGATAAAAAGTAGAGGAGTTGGTGACGTGCGGTTACTAGGAGGTTACTAGGGGATAACAAGTGGAGGAGTTAGTAACGCGCGGTTACTAGGAGGTTACTAGGGGAGAACAAGTAGAGGAGTTAGTAACGCGCGGTTACTAGGAGGTAACTAGGGGATAACAAGTAGAGGAGCTAGTAACGCGCGGTTACTAGGAGGTAACTAGGGGATAACAAGTAGAGGGGTAAGTAACGCGCGGTTACTAGGAGGTTACTAGGGGATAACAAGTAGATGAGTTAGTAACGCGCGGTTACTAGGAGGTTACTAGGGGATAACAAGTAGAGGAGTTAGTATCGCGCGGTTACTAGGAGGTTACTAGGGGATAACAAGTAGAGGAGTTAGTAACGCGCGGTTACTAGGAGGTAACTAGGAGATAACAAGTAGAGGAGTTAGTATCGCGCGGTTACTAGGAGGTAACTAGGGGATAACAAGTAGAGGAGTTAGTAACGCGTGGTTAACAAGTAGAGGAGTTGGTAACGTGCGGTTACTAGGACGTTACTAGGGGATAACAAGTAGAGGAGTTAGTAACGCTCGGTTACTAGGAGGTTACTAAGAACTCATGTTAATGAGGTACTGTTAGGAATTTGATAAAGATTCGACTTTCTAGACTGAGGGTTATCATGGACAGACAAATTACGCTTTATTATTTTTATGTAAATCTAGTTCAATCTTCTCTCTTCGAATTCCAAGATATACTGTTGGATATTTCTACTATATATGCAGAACTATGACTTTTGAGATTGTAGAATATTAAGTTTAATTAAAAAATGGAATTCGAAAAATGCAGTGCATTCCACCGTCCAAATTGTGTTCAATTTAGTTTTGATTTTGAATGGACGCCTTCATTCTTATCTATTCATTCTATGAAATATATTTACGGGAATTATCCCTTTCCTGATGTATCTGATTTGCACTTATTTTATGCGGTACACCCTGTATTTGCTGAGATTGTTATGGAGTAGATAATGTTTAAACAGTAAACATGTTTTATTCCGTTTTCATCTGTCTAAAAATATCACAAAAATTAAATTGAACTGACATGAAAACTGGAGTCTAAACCTGAAGGGTTTTGGTATATGATACGTTTTAGTTCCACTAGCAGGAACCCGTATAACCCTAAAATGTTTTAGTTCCATGTTTAGGGTCAGCGTTAGAGTTTGGGTTATAAGAAGATTTAATTCAGTAATTCAGATGAGCCACTGTCCAAACACCTTTAAATTACACGCACGCGCACACATACATACACACACACACACAGAACCAGCTATGTACGAGGAATGGTGTGATAGGTATTATTATATTCTAAATGCTTGCTATTGTACTTCAATCAATACAAATTAGTCGGGGTCACAAAGATTGTACCACTGAACAAAGCTGATTCACAATGACTGTACGACAGAGGGAGAACAAAGGTTAGCCACTTTAAACACCAAACATACTGTATTTCCTTAAGTTATCGTCTGTTTTGTGCTGTGTATAACAGCAATGTCATGTACTAGTATCTTTTAACATGACGTGATCCATTTGCAGTTCACTTATAGATAGGTTATCTTCACTGTAACAATTTTTAGATAGTTTTCAATTATCAATATAAACTGTTGTTCCTGTATATTATCATGACTATGATATACACCTACAGCTAGAGCTGTTTACACAGTATGTCTTTTGTAATCGGGGCTATGGCAGTGTGCGCCGCTACTGTCGCTCAGTTAACTATCGCTATTATGTTACTCGGAGTGGACGCTCAAAGTGAGTACCTAAATGTAAACCTTGTTATTAGTGACTAACTTAATATAAATACATTTGGTTAACTACATTTTCACAGATTATTTGCATTTTTAAATTGTGACTCGAAGCGAAATCTTTTAACCATGTTCGGTTCATCAATAAATTATCAATGGTCGAAATATGAACACCATTTGCAAAACAAACTCCAAATAATTGCATGATTAATACTATTCTCTTTTTCTGACTATTTTCAGGTTCCTCAATTTGTACAGTGTACCTGATATTGTTGGGAGCTGATTGCATTCTCACCTCACTCAGAATAGCTCAGATGTTGGAAGGTACGTACTTAGTAACACCCTAGTAACACCTTAGTAACACCCTAGTAACACCCTAGTAACACTGATTGCATTCTCACCTCACTCAGAATAGCTCAGATGTTGGGAGGTACGTACTTAGTAACACCTTAGTAACACCTTAGTAACACCCTAGTAACACTGATTGTATTCTCACCTCACTCAGAATAGCTCAGATGTTGGGCGGTACGTACTTAGTAACACCCTAGTAACACCTTAGTAACACCCTAGTAACACCCTAGTAACACTGATTGCATTCTCACCTCACTCAGAATAGCTCAGATGTTGGGAGGTACGTACTTAGTAACACCTTAGTAACACCTTAATAACACCCTAGTAACACCTTAGTAACACCCTAGTAACACCTTAGTAACACCCTAGTAACACTGATTGCATTCTCACCTCACTCAGAATAGCTCAGATGTTGGGAGGTACGTACTTAGTTAACACCCTAGTAACACCTTAGTAACACCCTAGTAACACTGATTGCATTCTCACCTCACTCAGAATAGCTCAGATGTTGGGAGGTACGTACTTAGTAACCCTAGTAACACCTTAGTAACACCCTAGTAACACTGATTGCATTCTCACCTCACTCAGAATAGCTCAGATGTTGGGAGGTACGTACTTAGTAACACCTTAGTAACACCTTAGTAACACCCTAGTAACACTGATTGCATTCTCACCTCACTCAGAATAGCTCAGATGTTGGGAGGTACGTACTTAGTAACACCTTAGTAACACCTTAGTAACACCCTAGTAACACTGATTGCATTCTCACCTCACTCAGAATAGCTCAGATGTTGGGCGGTACGTACTTAGTAACACCTTAGTAACACCTTAGTAACACCCTAGTAACACCTTAGTAACACAGGATAGCTCAGATGTTGGGCGGTACGGAAGTGTTTGTTTAACATTTAACCTTTTATTTATTTATCTACTGTAATTATGATCCCAACACAAACATTGGGATCACATGTCAAAATTAAGGAACTATGGTAACAAATCAGAACCAAGGCAACAAAATTGAAAGTATTTTCATTTTCAGATTCAGATTGTCTATGTTACAAGAAGCGTGAGTTATTAATTTTATTTATTTATTTGAATTAATTTTTTGACGATGAAGATATTATACGGAAAACGATAGATCAATCCTTTTGAAGAACAGATTTAAATTCTTACTTAGCACTTCAAATGTATGGAAAATATTTCGAATAAGATTCTCAAAATGATAAAACTTACTATTAACACCCTCTATTCACTAGTAACACCCTAGTAACACCCTAGTAACACCTTAGTAACACCCTAGTAACACCTTAGTAACACCCTAGTAACACCCTAGTAACACCCTAGTAACATCCTAGTAACACCCTAGTAACACCCTAGTAACACCCTAGTAACACCTTAGTAACACCCTAGTAACACCCTAGTAACACCTTAGTAACACCTTAGTAACACCCTAGTAACACCTTAGTAACACCCTAGTAACACCCTAGTAACACCCTAGTAACACCTTAGTAACACCCTAGTAACACCCTAGTAAACACCCTAGTAACATCCTAGTAACACCCTAGTAACACCTTAGTAACACCCTAGTAACACCTTAGGTAACACCTTAGTAACACCCTAGTAACACCCTAGTAACACCTTAGTAACACCCTAGTAACACCCTAGTAACACCCTAGTAACACTTAGTAACACCCTAGTAACACCCTAGTAACACCCTAGTAACACCCTAGTAACACCTTAGTAACACCCTAGTAACACCTTAGTAACACCTTAGTAACACCCTAGTTATTAATACCCTATATTCCTACAGATCACAAGAATGCTAGAACTGCTATGATAGCGTTATTAATACCCTATAATTCCTACAGATCACAAGAATGCTAGGACTGCTATGATAGCGTTATTAATACCCCATATTCCTACAGATCACAAGAATGCTAGAACTGCTATGATAGCGTTATTAATACCCCATATTCCTACAGATCACAAGAATGCTAGAACTGCTATGATAGCGTTATTAATACCCTATATTCCTACAGATCACAAGAATGCTAGGACTGCTATGATAGCGTTATTAATACCCTATATTCCTACAGATCACAAGAATGCTAGAACTGCTATGATAGCGTTATTAATACCCTATATTCCTACAGATCACAAGAATGCTAGAACTGCTATGATAGCGTTATTAATACCCTATATTCCTACAGATCACAAGAATGCTAGAACTGCTATGATAGCGTTATTAATACCCTATATTCCTACAGATCACAAGAATGCTAGAACTGCTATGATAGCGTTATTAATACCCCATATTCCTACAGATCACAAGAATGCTAGAACTGCTATGATAGCGTTATTAATACCCTATATTCCTACAGATCACAAGAATGCTAGGACTGCTATGATAGCGTTATTAATACCCTATATTCCTACAGATCACAAGAATGCTAGAACTGCTATGATAGCGTTATTAATACCCTATATTCCTACAGATCACAAGAATGCTAGAACTGCTATGATAGCGTTATTAATACCCTATATTCCTACAGATCACAAGAATGCTAGGACTGCTATGATAGCGTTATTAATACCCTATATTCCTACAGATCACAAGAATGCTAGAACTGCTATGATAGCGTTATTAATACCCTATATTCCTACAGATCACAAGAATGCTAGAACTGCTATGTTATTAATACCCTATATTCCTACAGATCACAAGAATGCTAGAACTGCTATGATAGCGTTATTAATACCCTATATTCCTACAGATCACAAGAATGCTAGAACTGCTATGTTATTAATACCCTATATTCCTACAGATCACAAGAATGCTAGGACTGCTATGTTATTAATACCCTATATTCCTACAGATCACAAGAATGCTAGAACTGCTATGTTATTAATACCCTATATTCCTACAGATCACAAGAATGCTAGAACTGCTATGTTATTAATACCCTATATTCCTACAGATCACAAGAATGCTAGGACTGCTATGATAGTTCTGGGTCTCCTCTCATGTACGTATTTAATTACTTACATATTTACAAGATACAAATACTGGTCTTATTTCATATTCAACTAACAAGATAAAATCAGCAAGTTTGTCTTCTTTATACCACTGAATATATTATAGTACTAGTGTAACCCGTGCCTACGGCCGGGACTTCACTATCGCAGTTGAAATCCAAAAGTATAAACCCGCCGCGCGTATTATAATCGAAGACACGCATTACATTTTCGAAGTTAAAACAGTGCGAAAGTATGAAGTCGCTCAGTCCAAACAGGCCGCAATTTAATTCAGAGTGCCCCTCACGTATCTAATAGTAATACTTGATAGGCAATCTTGAGGTCCAATGCCAAATTACCTAATTATATAGCAACTCTGTTATGAGGGGAGAGAGAGAGAGCGAGAGTGGGAGAGAGGGAGAGTACGTGAGACACTTTAGTATCACATTTGGGTCACAAAATGATCAATTAAACCACTTACCACCGACTGATTTAAAAATCCTTAATCATTTGGCTTCATCAGAGTTTTGTCGAAACTATACCGAAAAAACCAGTCCCATAACTCTTACCGTTTTCTTAATTAAGCCGTTCGGAAATTTCCCACGAACCCACACACTTTTTGGGATTATTAGTATAGATTACTATAACTTGGTTTTTCTGATTAACTGATTTTAAAATCCACTTAAATCTCTGGATATTACCACACAATTGAGCTAGTCTAACTAATTAACTAATTAACTAATTACCAGCAATAGGAACGCTAGGAGTGGTAGTCTAACTAAATAACTAATTAACTAATTAACTAATTACCAGCAATAGGAACGCTAGGAGTGGTAGTCTAACTAATTAACTAATTAACTAATTAACTAATTAACTAATTACCAGCAATAGGAACGCTAGGAGTGGTAGTCTAACTAAATAACTAATTAACTAATTAACTAATTACCAGCAATAGGAACGCTAGGAGTGGTAGTCTAACTAAATAACTAATTAACTAATTAACTAATTACCAGCAATAGGAACGCTAGGAGTGGTAGTCTAACTAAATAACTAATTAACTAATTACCAGCAATAGGAACGCTAGGAGTGGTAGTCTAACTAATTAACTAATTAACTAATTACCAGCAATAGGAACGCTAGGAGTGGTAGGGTAACTAATTAACTAATTAACTAATTAACTAATTACCAGCAATAGGAACGCTAGGAGTGGTAGTCTAACTAATTAACTAATTAACTAATTAACTAATTAACTAATTACCAGCAATAGGAACGCTAGGAGTGGTAGTCTAACTAATTAACTAATTAACTAATTAACTAATTAACTAATTACCAGCAATACGAACGCTAGGAGTGGTAGGGAAGCAGATAACTAATTAACTAATTACCAGCAAAAGGAACGCTAGGAGTGGTAGTCTAACTAATTAACTAATTAACTAATTACCAGCAATAGGAACGCTAGGAGTGGTAGTCTAACTAAATAACTAATTAACTAATTAACTAATTACCAGCAATAGGAACGCTAGGAGTGGTAGTCTAACTAATTAACTAATTAACTAATTAACTAATTAACTAATTACCAGCAATAGGAACGCTAGGAGTGGTAGTCTAACTAAATAACTAATTAACTAATTAACTAATTACCAGCAATAGGAACGCTAGGAGTGGTAGTCTAACTAAATAACTAATTAACTAATTAACTAATTACCAGCAATAGGAACGCTAGGAGTGGTAGTCTAACTAAATAACTAATTAACTAATTACCAGCAATAGGAACGCTAGGAGTGGTAGTCTAACTAATTAACTAATTAACTAATTACCAGCAATAGGAACGCTAGGAGTGGTAGGGTAACTAATTAACTAATTAACTAATTAACTAATTACCAGCAATAGGAACGCTAGGAGTGGTAGTCTAACTAATTAACTAATTAACTAATTAACTAATTACCAGCAATAGGAACGCTAGGAGTGGTAGTCTAACTAATTAACTAATTAACTAATTAACTAATTACCAGCAATAGGAACGCTAGGAGTGGTAGGGAAGCAGATAACTAATTAACTAATTACCAGCAATAGGAACGCTAGGAGTGGTAGTCTAACTAATTAACTAATTAACTAATTACCAGCAATAGGAACGCTAGGAGTGGTAGGGAAGCAGATAAAGGACCTGGACCCGGTGTTAAACTACGTGCAAATGTTAAAGAAGATGGGATGGGAAGAGAGCGAGATGTACCACAAGGAGCCCATAGACCAGCCCTACGCTGTAATAGTACTGGGAGTAATAGCACTAATAGGGCACCTGCTCAATACCTTTGTGGCATGTTGTCCTGGCAACCAACAAGCTGTCAGGCACAGCAACAAGCACAAGAAAGTGTGCCGGGCAGGGGGACTGATAGCTACGGTAAGTCTGAGGAGCGGGGTAGTAGCAAGTAGAGCTCAGATAGATGATGTATTAGCTGAACAAGCTTTAAAGACAGGAGCAGCTGATGAAACCACCAAAACACACCACCGTATATTACCGGACCCTTGCGTTCCTTGATTTGGGTAAAATAACTTCGCTTGTGAGTTAGTGATGATGAAAGATACTGTTACTATACTACTACTAATACTGTTCTACTGTATAAACTATAAAGTGTAAAATCCGGATTGGAGTATTATTTATGAGTCGCATTGTTGTAATGTATTCTGTGTAAAATTATCTTTATCCCTGTTGTTATACGATGAATACGATGTAGTTACATTGAAACGTCGAGTAAACTCCTTTCCCTAATAAGAGCATTTTCACTTGTCGCAACAACCGGGATAAAGATAATTTTACACAGAATACACTGTATAATGTTGTTACTTGAGATGCTCGTGAATATCTCGTGAAGTATGCTATTACGTTTGTAATATAAAGACAGTTATTTGACTTACTAAATAGTTACTGGAGTTGTTTATTAAGTTCTAAGAATTGTTACACAAATTATCAATACATGTGTTAATCTTCGTTAACGCAGCCTTCTACTGTGTTATTGTAAGTATAGGTGCAGGTCGTTTCCAGGGATACCAACTTAATTTTGTTTAAATTAAATTGTGTATACTGCTCAAAAGCCCTTATGGGTGGCCTTCTGGTCTTTGAAACAAACATATTTTTATAAAATTAATAACCGATCCTGTTTCGTTTTTTATTCCTGTTTATCACTCGTCTCATACATCAAATTGTAGGACTAGGAGTGAATGTTAAATAAAATCTATAATTAACACTAAACTTAAAAATGAAGTAGTAATTTACATTTTGTAAATTTACTGTAAACTTACTCTGTCTGATATAGGAAGAGAAGTGTTGCTCAGTGCTGATAACACGTGATTTGCTATCACACCAAGTTCAGTAGTCAGCTCAGAGTACAGAGCAGTGCACAGTTTAACATCCCTCAGGTGCCCGTCTAGATCACCCTGTAGTAGTGGGTATTAGTGTCATGACGTCACGTTATGTTGTGATGACGTCACGTTATGTTGTGATGACGTCACGTTATGTTGTGATGACGTCACGTTATGTTGTGATGACGTCACGTTATGTTGTGATGACGTCACGTTATGTTGTGATGACGTCACGTTATGTTGTGATGACGTCACGTTATGTTGTGATGACGTCACGTTATGTTGTGATGACGTCACGTTATGTTGTGATGACGTCACGTTATGTTGTGATGACGTCACGTTATGTTGTGATGACGTCACGTTATGTTGTGATGACGTCATGTTATGTTGTGATGACGTCACGTTATGTTGTGATGACGTCACGTTATGTTGTGATGACGTCACGTTATGTTGTGATAACGTCACGTTATGTTGTGATGACGTCACGTTATGTTGTGATGAAGTCACGTTATGTTGTGATGACGTCACGTGGTGTGAAGATGACGTCACGTTATGTTGTGATGACGTCACGTTATGTTGTGATGACGTCACGTTATGTTGTGATGAAGTCACGTTATGTTGTGATGACGTTACGTTATGTTGTGATGACGTCACGTTATGTTGTGATGACGTCACGTTATGTTGTGATGAAGTCACGTGGTGTAAAGATGACGTGACGTTATGTTGTGATGACGTCACGTTATGTTGTGATGACGTCACGTGTTAAGATATCACGTACCTGATATTTAGAGAGGAGTTCCAGTAGGAGCTGGCACTTAGCTCTACACTTGCTGCTAGTAGTTCCCAGTGATATCTCCAGCCCACAACTACACACACTGTCCTCTAGTTGTAGTTGCCCGCACTCCTTCTCTAGCGAGCCCACCTGGTATTAGTGTAGGAGTAACAGAGGCATGTTGTATACTTTAAAAACCACAAATCTCTGAAAAAATACAAGTATTGACAATTTGCTGTCCTCTTCATCTGCTTGAAAGTAAAGTAAGGTAAGCCTCAATGTAAAACTAACCAGCTGTAGGGAGGCGGTGATCTGGTCGTGTAGTCCCGGTAACCCGGTTATAAAGCTCTTATCATAGCCTTCACTACGCAACAATAACTCCAGCTCCTTCAGCATAGTGTCAAACTGTGACATCATGACCTCGTGACCACGAAGTGATGCTTGAAGGTCTTGCAAGTGGCGACATCGCTCTGATTTACGTGTGATCTGAAGTGCAATTAAAGTTAACGTATTATTAATTATCCAATATTTCTAGTAGTCAAATATGATAATATTAATAAGACTTCTAGATGAGTAGCCCTGATTTAGCTTCTAGTCACGTCACACGACAACTAATGACGTCACGTGACATAGAGTTACCTTATCAGAGAGCTGAGCCCATCGACCGTTACAAGTCTCAAACTGGGAGGAAATGAACTGCTCGTAACTAGAATCTAGTGATCCCATCAATTGGTGAGAGAGTTGTCGAGTAGACTGTATTTCTGCTGACTGGAGAAAAAGGAGGTTAACAACACGTTACCTTAACAACACATAACCACAACAATATGTTTCTATATGAACACATAACCATAGCAACATGTTCTAACAACAACACATAACCATAACAACACATAACCACACAGTTGTGATATACCTGAGTGTTAAGTTGGTCGATGTAACCATGGTAGAGTTGCACATGTCTAGTGTACTGATCCCCTTCTTCAGGTTGGTGTGTACTCTCTCTTCTACTCAACCCTTCTAACCAGGTTGTGATAGTGTTAGTGTGGTCCTGTAGGTTGAGGAGTCCCTCTAGTGCTATGTTAACTTCACTGTATCTACTTCTCACTTCCTCGTCTAGCTTCTCCCACAACGTGTGTAGTATTGTCAGATCACTCCTGTAGTGATATCAGGTCTTATTTGTCACGTGACGTATAAGCAACACAACCAAACAGTAGAAACCCGTGGTATTTGATGACGTCACGAGATATATGATGACGTCACGTGGTATCTGATGACGTCAGTTTACTGTATACTCACGTGAGTTGTTTTGCAGCAGAGGGAGAGAGATGTATCAGTAGGTCTCTTCCGTACGCTATAACATTGTCTAGTTTCAGTTTCAGCACGCTCAGCTCGTCTACTCTAGTCTTGTACCTGTCACGTATAGTATATAGTATATACTTATATATAGGCAGTATATAGTATAGTCACGTGGTTTCATAACGCAACCGAACTGTTGAGACCCCAAAGATGATAACATTCTTAATTAAAAAGGAGTGATCTCTAAGTACAATTCTAACGTGTTATATATGTTCTGGGAGCGTTGTAAGCTTCCTAAAGAGTCTGCTGTGTTACTTTCTTCACTGGGCCCGTCATTTAGAGCTGTCTGTAGCCATGCCCCTGTGAGTTGTAATTAATGTTAGAAGACTATATTTTATACTTGCACATGTCAAAAGGTGAAGGATAATTTTCTTCCGTGTCTTTTTATATATACACGCCAATCATTGTCCCGCAATAACACGAGGTAATGCGCATTAAAACGTGCTAACCCGCAATAACACGTGGTAACACGCGATAACACGTGGTAACGCGCGATAACACGTGGTAACGCGCATTGAAACGTGCTTACCCGCAATAACACGTTATAACGCGCGATAAAACGTGCTAACCCGCAATAACACGTGGTAACGCGCAATAACACGTGATATTCAGCTCACCTAGCTCATTGTAGTCCTGACGGAACTTGAGGAATTTGTTACTCTCCACCTCCAAATAGTTTGACTTCTCACCCACACGGGCTGATAAACTGAAGTATGTTGCTTGATAATATTGGGGAGTTGTACGGGGTCCGGACTCTACGGCGAGTCTCGCGTCGTAGAGTCCCGGACACAAACCTGTAACTTTTACGAACAAGTCATTGGCGGTCTCACAACAAGCAGACAGTTTGGACGGCTTATTGCATAAGACAAGTAGTTGTGGTTTATTTATTAAACAATCCATTGTTATATATATATACATATATATACACATAATACATTGAAACAACAGATTGGTACTCTCTGAATGTGAATAAGCTTACTTGATGTTGAAGTAAGAAAAGAGAAAAGTTCACTTTACAAGCAAGTGTTATAGTCAATCAACAAGGATCGTATCAGCTAACTACTTCAAAACAAGTTACTTAATTATTTACAAAACAAGCGTGTAGGAAAATGTTAATAGTAGTTACATACACGTGGTCACTTAGAAAAAGTAAATAGTGACTAATGTGACTGTACAATATGCATAAAACGAGGGATGCTCTAATATTATGCGTATTGTGCGAGAGGGAGACTTTTAAGCGAACACATCCTAGTATGTAGACAGCAGACAGACAGACAGCAGACAGACATCATGTAGACAACTTATAGATTATAACTATACAGACAGTGCGCAGTGCCACTGATTATATGATTAAATTTGACCCTTTGGTTACCCCAAAATTTGGGGCCCTAATCACTAATGCCCTCTGCAATTAAATTACTCATACAAATAAAAGGGAGCGTAAATATCAGTGAGACTAAGGTTCAACACAATAATTAAAAGATTAAAAAAGATGCTGAATCAACAGTAGCACTAGTTTGCGACTAACTTGTTGAAGTTGTCTCTAAGCTAAGTTTGACTCTGTACTAACTTGTTGAAGTTGTCTCTAAGCTAAGTTTGGCTCTGTACTAACTTGTTGAAGTTGTCTCTAAGCTACGTTTGGCTCTGTACTAACTTGTTGAAGTTGTCTCTAAGCTAAGTTTGACTCTGTACTAACTTGTTGAAGTTGTCTCTAAGCTAAGTTTGACTCTGTACTAACTTGTTGAAGTTGTCTCTAAGCTAAGTTTGACTCTGTACTAACTTGTTGAAGTTGTCCCGTAAGTTCTGAGAGTTGTGGGTTTGTCCGGGTAGTATCTGATCTAGCTTCCCTGCGAACTGTTCTACACTGGTAATATCCTCTCCTATCGTGCGTAACTCACTCTGCAGATCCTGCAATAACATGGAACTGTTACTTTCTAAACTATTAATATATTTTTATAATCTTTTTAAATTTCACCATCAAAACTATAATAATAATACTTGTAATAAGTCCTAAACAGAATTATATTGTCAAGTTATTGCGGCAGTATCCTCATTACAGTATCGGCGAGTACGAAGAAAAGCTTTTAACTAAATTATAGCTTTGAAACCTTGGCAACACTTCCAAACCGCCCAAAACTAACTTCACGATGAATAAGGACTCCTTATAATTAAGGAGGTAATAAACCCTCCTAACTCCACTAACTGACAACCCTCCACCTACAACCTACTCACATCCCAGCAGCACCCTCAGTAGAATCGACAAACAGATCGTACCTTCTCTAATGAAGCAGCTGACTCAGCAGAGGAAGATGTCTGTCTAGTCTGTTTCGTGCTGGAGACTGCACTTTTAGTAGAGGTTTTAGTAGCTGCAGAGTTCTGCCTCATCTTAGAGTTAGCTGCAGAGTTAGTAGCTACACTTTGGTCACTGCTAGTTGTCATAAAATCTCCCATAGTTGTCATGGTGCTGCTCTTCGTTGCCAGGGTGCTGCTCTTCGTTGCCAGGGTGCTGCTCTTCGTTGCCAGGGTGCTGCTTTTTGTTGCCATGGTGCTGCTCTTCGTTGTCATGGTGCTGCTCTTCGTTGTCATGGACGTTACCTCTGCTCCACTCATAATGTCACTGTGTGTTTTAACAGACTGCAGATGCTGACTGAGCTGTAAGGACATCAAATCACGTGATAAGAGTCTGCCATGTTTGAGAGTGGGCACTAAGAAGGGTTATTATGTGAAGAAAAAAAGACAAGATCCGACATCAAACAGAAGGATAATCCGACATAAAGCGACTGCGATGATAATTATAAGACGAATCAACTAAATCTGTGCCCTCCTCAGACTGAGTAGGTATAATGAAGGTAGGTAGCCAGGAAGGAAGGACCCAATTATTTCCAACACCCCGCTCCGATAATAATTGGGTGTACTAGGGTACTACTAAGGGCTAACTAGTCGACTGTGAGGAAGATGGTAAGACACGGATAATCACCCCCTTTTTAAAACTAATTATTTAATTTTGAGAATAGGACTGTGAACACCTAATTTGAGAACAATTAGCAGCGGAACCCTAAACTATTCTTGTAAAAGTTGTAAACAACGCAAAATGTTCAGAGATACGAGATATTGTATATCGGCAACTGATTAAGTAATGTCAATAGAATACCACATTAAGGTAGCTACCAGAGCGTGAAGCTGTCTGTAACAGCAGCAAGGCGAGCTAATCATGTAAAATATTATTATTTATGACAAGCTTACTTAGCAATAGTAGAGGTATTAATAGCAAGCATGGTTAATTGGACACTCGCATAGTTCTTAAATAACTTTAAAGACTGTAAATGGGTTTTTACATAATATTAGCTGCAGGGTTTTAACAGAATTCATAGTCGGGAAGGCCAAATGATACTGCCAGACAGGACATTTGGTGACTTTGATAAAACACGTCCCCATAAAATTAAATTCGGCATTACGTAGATACACGTGATATGTCGTCACTAAACGTGGTACTAACCTTTGCCGGCCTGGTTGTCAGGAAGTTGACTGGAAGCTGAAAGTCTCTACTGATAAGGATTTTAGGGTAAATATATCTGTTCTCATCCTCCCCACATGCAATGTTGTAGCTATTACTACGACTCCGCGACGACATCTTCTCTTCAGAGACTACTGGGTTGTTGCACGTGCTGCATGTGGCGGTGGTTTTGCACGTGCTGCATGTGGCGGTGGTTTTGCACGTGCTGCATGTGGCGGTGGTTCTGCACGTGCTGCATGTGGCGGTGGTTCTGCACGTGCAATGTTGATGAGAACATGATACCGACTGGGAGGGCTTTTGTTCGGGACTACGAGGTCTACTTGAAGAGTCATAATTACAGTCTGAATTTGGATTATCATCGAAGTCTGAGGCATGATTGCCGTGGTCTGAGGCAAGGTTATCATGGTCAGAGTAAAGGTCATTATAGTGGTCTGAAGCAAGATCACTGTTGAGGTTGGGATGCCCGTTATCAAACCCCTCTGAGTCACTGGAAGCACTCCACTCACTAGACTTACCACCCCGGTGCGACAAGAAGGATTGACGGAGGGATCTGGTGAGAGCAAACCGGGCCTCCGGCAACTCTTTACTTATCCTAGCTGCAGAGAAATCAGGCTTCATCAGCTCCGGTAACTCTTTACTTATCCTAGCAGCAGAGAAATCAGGCTTCATCAGCTCCTCGTAGCAGCTACTCTGGTCTGATAAGAATACTTCGTCAGAAACGTTACCAGTGGAGATACAACCGTGAACATGGTTACCGGACGAGTTGGAGCACGACCAGAGGTGAAGTGAGTCAGTAGAACAAGCCACTCTGTAGCTAAGCGACCTGACCACCTTCCTGACGATCAGACCTCTAGCCAGCCTCTCACGTGACCCAAACATTCTGGTATCACGTGACTCTAGGACTCTGATGTCGGGTAAAGAGCGGGTAATGTCGGAGGGGAAGAGACAGGAGAGCGAGGGGGATGTTAACTGTTCGAGTTCAGGGGAAGAGTCGCTGTAACCATGGAAATAAGACTCTGGTTGGGAGGTGTCATCACTGAAGAGCTCGTCTGTGTCACAGAACTCGCAAGAGTCTGGTGATATGTTCTGGATATTATTGGGGATTGTTTCAGAGTTGGGCGGAGACTCTACCAGACTGGAGACTGTTTCCATCTCCTCGTCACTCTTACTGTTACTGTTGCTGATCATAGCATCACTGCTACTGTTCATTATAAACTCTCCACTCGAGATGCTATGATCTTTGAAGGAGGAGGGAGGAGAGGAGGTTGTTAATATCTCCTTACACTGACCCACACTGTCAGACCAATTAAAGGAGCTGTCAGGAGGACTGCTAAGAAATTCAGGAGACGTTAAGATGAGTTGATCTGGAGACGTTGAGATGAGTTGATCTGGAGACGTTGAGATGAGTTGATCTGGAGATGTTAAGATGAGTTGATCTGGAGAAGTCCCAACGAAGCCTGGGGACTGAACAGTTTCCGAGTCGGAACAAGACATTTCTCTAACCTCGTTAAACAGAGCTGTTACCCACTGACTGTGATCACACTGCTTCTTGGGAACTACACTCATTACCAACATAAGATAACCTCTGGATCTGTTGAAACCGGGCGGTTTTACCCTCAAATCCCATAGAATACTCTACTGATAACTATCACTAACATAACACGTGATATCATCTTCAGTAGCTAACATGCGTTTGCAACACCACAAACAAGAGAAACAACAGAGATGTAAGCACACAGCGAGAACAACTTGCCAGTTCCCAGTCTACCTTACATAAAACACGTGACAGTCACGTGACAACCTATTACTCTAATTCTGGATCAGCTTTCCAGGCCGATAATTAAATGCAAAAGATGCGCATAAATTGTTTGTTTCCGGATACGGACAGTGATTGGTCGGTATCTTCCTCCGTCAAACGAAAGAAGTGAGTATCCCGGAAGTGTGTAAAGTTTCTCCCGGGTGTAAAATCTAAACACGAGTGTGTATGAATCTTACTGTTTGGCATAATGATCCGTGTAACTCTTAATCTCCCTTTACAACAATGTAATCTCAGGGAGTTAGACAAATTTCCTAATTAATTTAGAGAACCTGACATTTCCGGATATTAACCCTCCTCAGACACTCTCACGAGGATGGTGGGAGGAGGAATGAACTCCGGGGGTAGCGAGTAGGAACCTCACGAGGATAGTGGGAGGAGGAATAAACTCCGGGGGTAGAGAGTAGGAACCTCACGAGGATAGTGGGAGGAGGAATAAACCCCGGGGGTAGAGAGTAGGAACCTCACGAGGATGATGGGAGGAGGAATAAACTCCGGGGGTAGCGAGTAGGAACCTCACGAGGATGGTGGGAGGAGGAATAAACTCCGGGGGTAGTGAGAAGGAACCTCACGAGGATGGTGGGAGGAGGAATAAACTCCGGGGGTAGAGAGTAGGAACCTCACGAGGATGGTGGGAGGAGGAATAAACTCCGGGGGTAGAGAGTAAGAACCTCACGAGGATTGTGGGAGGAGGAATAAACTCCGGGGGTAGAGAGTAGGAACCTCACGAGGATGATGGGAGGAGGAATAAACTCCGGGGGTAGAGAGTAAGAACCTCACGAGGATGATGGGAAGAGGAATAAACTCCGGGGGTAGCGAGTAGGAACCTCACGAGGATTGTGGGAGGAGGAATAAACTCCGGGGGTAGAGAGTAGGAACCTCACGAGGATGATGGGAGGAGGAATAAACTCCGGGGGTAGAGAGTAAGAACCTCACGAGGATGGTGGGAAGAGGAATAAACTCCGGGGGTAGCGAGTAGGAACCTCACGAGGTTAGTGGGAGGAGGAATAAACTCCGGGGGTAGAGAGTAGGAACCTCACGAGGTTAGTGGGAGGAGGAATAAACTCCGGGGGTAGCGAGTAGGAACCTCACGAGGATGGTGGGAGGAGGAATAAACTCCGGGGGTAGCGAGTAGGAACCTCACGAGGATGGTGGGAGGAGGAATAAACTCCGGGGGTAGAGAGTAGGAACCTCACGAGGATGGTGGGAGGAGGAATAAACTCCGGGGGTAGAGAGTAGGAACCTCACGAGGATGGTGGGAGGAGGAATAAACTCCGGGGGTAGAGAGTAGGAACCTCACGAGGATGGTGGGAGGAGGAATAAACTCCGAGGGTAGAGAGTAGGAACCTCACGAGGATGATGGGAGGAGGAATAAACTCCGGGGGTAGAGAGTAGGAACCTCACTAAAACTACAAACCAGAGGTAAAAGAGGCGTTCTAATCCCGGTTAGATTAGAACAGTAAACGTAAAGTGCGAAGAACAAAAGATGAACAGTAGGCTATCCACCTAGGAACGAGGACAATTCCACAAGTTAACCAGGTTGGACGGTGTGAGAATTAGCTAACTGTTTACTTACTGTTTTCTTAATGTTTACTTACTGTTTACTTAATGTTTACTTACTGTTTATGTACTGTTTACTTACTGTTTATTTACTGTTTACTTACTGTTTACTTACTGTTTACTTACTGTTTACTTACTGTTTAATTACAGTTTACTTACAGTTTACTTACAGTTTAGTTACTGTTTAATTACTGTTTACTTACTGTTTACTTACTGTTTACTTAATGTTTAAATACTTACTGTTTACTTACTGTTTACTTACTGTTTACTTACTGTTTACTACTGAACGGAGGGGTCTCGCAAAAGTCTACGATTGAACGAAATCCTCAAATTGAGATAAAAGTAAACCTACAATTATGGAGGTAGGGAGGTAGGGAGGTAGGGAGGTAGGGAGGTAGGGAGGTAGGGAGGTAGGGAGGTAGGGAGGTAATAACAAACCTTGGTGATATCGAGCTGTTCCTGCAGTCCTCCATCCAGGGAGCTAGATAACCAGAGGTTTGGTTTATCGAGAGTACTGGACACGTCCCCCAACTTTACCTCTACTTCAGTACACAGGTCCATGTAAAGGGTGATCTGGTGACGGAGCGAGACCAGGTACTCCTGTCTTGCTGATAACTGGGGCGAGGTGATTAGTTATCTTTATACTTTTATCTAGGTACGTTGCTCTCATATCAATTAATTTTGTCTAATTAAAATGCAAAAAAATTGATTTTGGTGAATGGAAAAAAGGAGGACAATAAGGTTAAAATGAAATAGCAGAACGTCACTCGGTCACTTAGCAGATCTTAAACTTTTAGAGATATTTAATTTTATCTCCTGAAGAGCCTATCACTTATAAGGCACGGGTTACACTAGTTCAAGTATAAAGCTGGCAGAGCGGAGATTAGAAACTAAGTTTTTAATAATGGCTACCTGTATTAATGGCTACCTGCACATCTTGCATGCAGTCAAAAAACAAATAACAACGGACTAACTACAGGATGCTGCAGTTTAAGTTGCAAAACTGCCGTTTTCTGACAAATATGCTTAAAGATCACTCAAAAATCCGAGGTTTGAATCTAATGGCTTCTGATGGTTTTCAGGGATAGTTCCTGACCCTACAAATAAATTCGGATAAGATAATCCAAAATTTCAAAAACGGTCTTCAAGCACATTTGTCAGAAAACGGCAGAATAAATAATGCTGCAGAAATAGCTCCAGCTAGAAAAGTTAAACAGTAGTGTTTAGTATTTAGAGGTGCACTACAGAGCTTCAAAACAGAGTGAACTGTGAGTGTCTTTCAATATAACACGTGACGAGCAAGTAGGTGAAAAGCTGGCTGCTGATTGGTTCACAGAACACACGTGCCGGAAAACCTGGCTGCTGATTTGTTCACAAAACACACGTGCCGGAAAAGCTGGCTGCTGATTGGTTCACAGAGCTCAGTGCACTGGGAAAGTAATTGGATTGTACTCGGGCTGGTCACTATTTTCTAGTTATACCTCATTTGGGCATTTCAAAAATGCACAAGGTGGTGAAAATAGTGAAATATCGGGAGATTTAACTTCAATAATGCCATTTTCTAGTAGAGGCTCAGCCGTCAATATAGGTTGAACAGTGAACACCACTAATAAAGTAATAAGAAACGCCGTTTACTTTCAGGAGGTATATAAGACTAAACTATATCTATAATATTGATAATATTACGAGACCTTAAAGTACCTACTTAAAGTACGGACCCGCCCACCTACCCCTCCTGTCCTATTGAACGTTCGGTCGACGAGAAAAAATATTTGGGGTGCAATATGCTCCCAGGGGGCGGCAAAAAGCTGAAGGGGCGGCAAAAAGGGGGCGGCAAAAAGGGGGCGGCAAAAAGCTGTAGGGGGCGGCAAAAAGCTGAAGGGGCGGCAAACGGCTGAAAACCCTACCCTAACCTATTGACATTTGACAGCTATATAACGGTCAATGTTCTGATAACTCTACCGGCTGATCCCCCCTCACTCCCCCTCCCTTTACGGACTAAGGAACAAGTGTTACGGAAGCTTTCGACGTTAAGTAGCATATATTGCAACAACCTTATAACAGGGTCCAAGTTAGAAGACTGTAACGTGAGGATCTAAAGTGTGACTTAAAGTGTGGTTACTCCCTAAAGTAAGTAGGTTTCTACGGGGGTAATTCTAAATGTAGCTACCATTAGTGCATTTTAGTTAGCAAGTTAACTGGTGACTGAAATGTACGTTTCGCCACTGAGTCTACTTTCTTTTGTGAAATAAATAGAAACAAGTAAAGCTGAAACAGTGCACTACTCAAAACCTAGCTTCTAAAACGAAATGCAAACAAACACACAGTGAGACAGTGGCCCACTGTGTGTTTATGTGTGGGCCACAGTGGGCCACAGTGGAACACATAAACAAACTAGGTTAAAACAGAACACACAGGATAAAATAGAAACAGTCCCCCAAAATAAAGGTCCTCAGTGAGTGAGCTTGTGCCGGCTATTAAAACGTACAGATATAGCAGCATGGTGACAAATGGGGGATATATTAACAAATGGGGGATATATTAACAGTAGCTAGTAGGAGTAGTGAACTAGTAGCTAGTAGGAGTAGTGAACAATATTATTTATAAAGGAGTAACAGAGTGACTGTTATAGGATTCCTTTAATAACCTGACAGTAATATTATGTAGTGAGCTAGAGGGCTGTACAGGGCTGTGTTCTAGTGCTTTATTGCTTTTTTGGTTAAGTAAGGTATAATCGATTGTTCTAAGGGCGTTACATAATCATGTCAATACGAGTTGCAAAGCAATGTATACACACTAAACATTCTAAACAAGTGATATAATATAACTAAGTATCACTACACAGTACACGTGCTAAAACTACACGTGCATTCTGTAATTATTAGAATGTTGCAGCAATAAAACTGCTTATATGGCATTAAACATATGTGTCTAGTTGGCTGCAAAGCATCTCAAGTATCAACATTAATTACCTTTCTGTATCACTGTGTTATGTTGGCTGCAAAGCATCTCAAGTATCAACATTAATTACCTTTCTGTATCACTGTGTTATGTTGGCTGCAAAGCATCTCAAGTATCAACATTAATTACCTTTCTGTATCACTGTGTTATGTTGGCTGCAAAGCATCTCAAGTATCAACATTAATTACCTTTCTGTATCACTGTGTTATGTTGGCTGCAAAGCATCTCAAGTATCAACATTAATTACCTTTCTGTATCACTGTGTTATGTTGGCTGCAAAGCATCTCAAGTATCAACATTAATTACCTTTCTGTATCACTGTGTTATGTTGGCTGCAAAGCATCTCAAGTATCAACATTAATTACCTTTCTGTATCACTGTGTTATGTAATTGCAAAGCATCTCAAGTATCAACATTAATTACCTTTCTGTATCACTGTGTTATGTAATTGCAAAGCATCTCAAGTATCAACATTAATTACCTTTCTGTATCACTGTGTTATGTTGGCTGCAAAGCATCTCAAGTATCAACATTAATTACCTTTCTGTATCACTGTGTTATGTAATTGCAAAGCATCTCAAGTATCAACATTAATTACCTTTCTGTATCACTGTGTTATGTAATTGCAAAGCATCTCAAGTATCAACATTAATTACCTTTCTGTATCACTGTGTTATGTAATTATATACCGCTGAATATTTAGCAATTTGCAGCAATGCATTATGACATTGAGTACACTGAGTTAGGAGAAAACTTAAAACCTTCAACAGAGCAATACTGTTACCCTACATCAGAACGTGTACAAATTACAGAATTAAACAGAATTAAACACTGTTAAATTACAAACTACCAAAAGAAGAGAGCAAGTCAGCTAAACAGAGTAACAAAGTGACAGTAATACAGTAACAGTGCAGAAACTGTGGTTACTGGTTAACTACATGTCATCTACATCCTACTTAGTGGGGACTACCTACCTGGTACAAGCCACAATAACTAGTTATTATAGGTGTGTAGTTAGTACACTAAACATGTGTGTAGTTAGTACACTAAACATGTGTAGAAAGTACAATAAACATGTGTGTAACTAGTAGTAACTATTAACGCAGTCACACGGGACCACACACACTCTGAATATACAGCATAATAAAACTAAATAAAACTGAATAATGAGGTTACATCATTTGCTTGACGAAGATAGCACCAGAATTCCAAAATAAACAACATCAAATACGACACGATTACCACTCACTCACACTTTCACACACTCACTCACACTTTACTTCACGCAAAGTGTGCGTCTCACACTCAATAAAATATCTTACATATTATACATATTATAGTGAGTTGAAATACCATAGTGTTAGGGTGAAATTGCTAGGAAGTAGGGTTTGAAGGGTTAATACCACAGTGAGAACTGAGAGAGCTGACATTACAATTCATTACATAGGGGCAGGGGCTACATCAGGCTAAACTAGGACACTATTATACTAGGATACTATACTATAAGGTCAGAGTTAGGGTGAAACAGACGTAATTCTGGGAGCGCCAAACAACGTTTAATGTTTAAATGGCGAGTAAATATGTGTAATATACAATGCGAGCATGAGATTGAAAATGAGAATATGTTGCTCAGATAAGGTCAGCTAGCTTTAGTTTTCATTGTTTGTATGTTGCATAATAACTAAATAAATGCCAATTATCTGAGTTTAAAAGCTAATCGTCATTATAATAATAAGCTACAATCTGAGAAACAGACACTACAGTACAAGTCAGTACAAACAAAATGAGAAGCTTCTATAAATCTGAGAAACTAACTAAAAAACTAACGTTACGAAAAAGAACACACTCACTGTTAGAACTAACTTACAAGCAGTGTTAAGCCACTGCTTGTAAGGGTAGTAACTAGTAACAACAACAGTCTAGAGAGTGCGATTATAAACCCACCCTTACAAGTACTGTTAACTAACACGGTGAGAAATTAACAGGTAGTCCACACTAGGGGGTCAACAGGACAAGCTCAGCTCATTAATAATGGAGATATCTAGGGGGGGGGGGGGGGCTATAGTAACAGATATCTAGGGGGGGGGGTCTATAGTAACAGATATCTGGGGGGGGGGGGGGCTATAGTAACAGATATCTGGGGGGGGGGGGGGGCTATAGTAACAGATATCTAGGGGGGGGGGGGGCTATAGTAACAGATATCTAGGGGGGGGGGGGCTATAGCAACAGATATCTAGGGGGGGGGGGGCTATAGTAACAGATATCTAGGGGGGGGGGGTCTATAGTAACAGTTATCTGGGGGTGCTATAGTAACAGATATCTGGGGGTGCTATAGTAACAGATATCTGGGGGGGGGGGGGGGGCTATAGTAACAGATATCTAGGGGGGGGGGGGGGCTATAGCAACAGATATCTAGGGGGGGGGGGTCTATAGTAACAGTTATCTGGGGGTGCTATAGTAACAGATAGGAGCTTAATGAAGATATAACACATAATATGGCACCCAACTGTATAAAACGAGGGACTACAGTTCGTAATAAAAACTCTAGGAACAAAACACTGAGTAGACTGTGTTAGTACCCCCCCCCCCCCCCCCCTAGTAAACTGAGTGAGCGTGTAAGGGGTACGCCCCTGCTTAGTTAGTATATCAGATAAATCATCAGTTACTGAACAACACATTATTTAGAAACATGATTAGAATTCCTGATTTCCATGGCAACAGTTAGGAATGCGAATCAACAACACTACTTAAAATACCGTGTATACATGACGCAGCTAAACAACAACAACAACATGAAATACTTGGCACGACCAGCCCTTAATTAATTAATCAGTAAAAACAAACCAGTTAATTAGAGGGTATAGCAGAGACAGTGCTAATTACAAGGATGTGAGAAAGTTTAATAAATACCCTTGCAGGGGGGGGGGGGGGGGGGTGCAGGTACCACCCGTATTTATACTCAGAATTCGGTAGGATCATTTCCCGATACGAGATTGAGGACGGGTTCTATAAACAAGAAAACAAACAGAAAGTGTGCACTACGAGATATGTGTAGTATGTGTTCACCATTACAAGGACTGTAAACTACAACCCGACAAGGACTGTAAACTGTGCACACTGGAACTGGTGTTACGTTTCACGGCCCCACGCTCCTCTTATACTACTCCTCGACAAGTTTAAATGTGTTTAGAGGGCAGCGTTTATCTAGAAGAGGGGTTTATCTAGAAGAGGGGTTTATCTAGAAGAGGGTTTTATCTAGAACAGGGGTTTATCTAGAACAGGGGTTTATCTAGAACAGGGGTTTATCTAGAACAGGGGGTCATCTAGAACAGGGGTTTATCTAGAACAGGGGTTTATCTAGAACAGGGGGTCATCTAGAACAGGGGTTTATCTAGAACAGGGGTTTATCTAGAACAGGGGTTTATCTAGAACAGGGGTTTATCTAGAACAGGGGTTTATCTAGAACAGGGGTTTATCTAGAACAGGGGGTCATCTAGAACAGGGGTTTATCTAGAACAGGGGTTTACTAGAACAGGGGTTTATCTAGAACAGGGGTTTATCTAGAACCAAGGGTTTATCTTGAACAGGGGTTTATCTAGAAACAGGGATTGGGGGTGTCCGGGGTTGGTGTGGTTCTTTGTGTGGTTTTATCTAGAACAGGGGTTTATCTAGAACAGGGGTTTATTCCTAGAACAGGGGTTTATCTGAACAGGGTTTTTCTAGAACAGGGGTTTATCTAGAAGACGGGGTTTATCTTAGACAAGGGGTTTATCTAGAACAGGGGTTTATCTAGAACAGGGTTTATCTAGAACAGGGGTTTATCTAGAACAGGGGTTTGCAGCTTGTTCTAGATAAGGAAGGGGAGAAAGAGTGTTTAAAGGCTTATCGTACTGAATTGTCCGTGCGAAATTCGAGACCATTAAGTAATTAGAATATGACGTTCTGCTACTTACTTACTAATTGGTTATGTATTTATGTAGGGTCTAGGTACTGTAACTCACCGTTTCTAATTTGCCGGGGGGAGTTCCGCTCAAGTTCCTGGATTCTTCCACCAAATCCTGAAATGATACAACATTATGCTGAGGTTAGAGGTACATAATATCTAAAATCAGTACGAAACAAGGAGTAGCACTGTTATACTAGTGCTACTAGTGCACTGCACTAGTGCCTAATGTAATTCTTTAATAGCATCGAAATCTTAGCATTATTTCATCAGTTTCCTTTTAAGATAACGGTTAAAATTGTTCTCAGATAAAGCCTATTATCGCTGTATAGCCTGTATGAAACTTAGGTTACCTCCCACAGAAACAACCATACTACCAGTATGACGTTATTGGAGGGGGTATGGGTGGAGCCTGTATAAAACGTAGGTTACCTCCCACAGGAACAACCATACTACCAGTATGACGTTATTGGAGGGGGTATGGGTGGAGCCTGTATGAAACGTAGGTTACCTCCCACAGGAACAACCATACTACCAGTATGACGTTATTGGAGGGGGTATGGGTGGAGCTAACCTGAATAATAAGCTCCTGATCGTCGAGCCATGAGGTGGGGGAGACGAGGACAGGAGAGGATAAGACCGCCTCAACTCTCAGGTTCCAACCCTCACTCTCTCTCACCTCCTCCAGAACCTGGGGTACAGGTTTATTAAAGGAAACATAGGGAGATAAGTATAGTCTTTATATTAGCACAACAGCTGATCAGCAAAGAGTAAACAATACGTTAGTGACAGCAGAATAAAAGAGATTGAAACACTGAGGGTGCTGAATAAAACGGTAAGATACTAAACCTGAGTAGGATGTGTAGATGATGTCTCGTGTGGCTCCTGTTTAGAGGATGTCTCTTGTGGCTCCTGAGTAGAGAATGTCTCTTGTGGGTCCTGAGTAGGCTGTTTAGAGGATGTCTCTTGTGGCTCCTGAACATCGTAGAACTCTTCCTCGTCTTCCCACTGAGTGCCCTTTGTAATAGACTCAGGTCTCACTTCCTCCATCTGGGAATGTACCCTATCTTTGGAGTCTGCTTCTACAGAGATCTCTTCCTCCTCATCCTCTTCCATGTCAACACATATCAGATCTGGAGTCCAGATGTTGAGCTCCTCATCAGACTCACTATTTTCTGTCTGGGTTGCTGACATGACTACTTTAACAGCGTCAACAGGTTTCTTCAGAGCTACAACAGAATCAACAGTATCCATAGCAACAGTATCCACAGCAACAGTATCCACAGAGCTAGCGCTCTTGTCGAACTGGCTGGAAGAGTCCTCTACTTGACTGACAGCTTGAGAGGCAGTGTCAGAGTAGTCTGGAGAGAACTGGGAGGCTGTGGTGGTAGTGTCAGGAGCTAGCTGAGTACTGGAGGAGAAGGAGAGAGGTCTGATGTCAGCCTGCTGACTATTGCTCACTAGATCTGGTCTAATATTAGCCTGCTGACTATTGCTCACTAGATCTGGTCTAATGTCAGCCTGTTGACTATTGCTCACTAGATCTGGTCTAATATCAGCCTGTTGACTATTGCTCACTAGATCTGGTCTAATGTCAGCCTGTTGACTATTGCTCACTAGATCTGGTCTAATGTCAGCCTGTTGACTATTGCTCACTAGATCTGGTCTGATGTCAGCCTGTTGACTATTGTTCACTAGATCTGGTCTGATGTCAGCCTGTTGACTATTGCTCACTAGATCTGGTCTAATGTCAGCCTGTTGACTATTGCTCACTAGATCTGGTCTAATGTCAGCCTGTTGACTATTGCTCACTAGATCTGGTCTAATATCAGCCTGTTGACTATTGCTCACTAGATCTGGTCTAATGTCAGCCTGTTGACTATTGCTCACTAGATCTGGTCTAATGTCAGCCTGTTGACTATTGCTCACTAGATCTGGTCTGATGTCAGCCTGTTGACTATTGCTCACTAGATCTGGTCTGATGTCAGCCTGTTGACTATTGCTCACTAGATCTGGTCTAATGTCAGCCTGTTGACCATTGCAGATAGAATCTGGTCTAATATCAGCTTGTTGCCCATTGCATATCGATTCGGGTCTAATATCTGCTTGTTGTCCATTGCAGATCGATTCGGGTCTAATATCTGCTTGTTGTCCATTGCAGATAGATTCTGGTCTAATATCTGCTTGTTGTCCACTGCAGATCGATTCCGGTCTAGTGTCAGCCTGTTGGGTAACATCAGAAGAATGAGGCAGGATTATAGCTTGTGAGCTGGTCTCCATGGTGGAGACTGTATCACACTGAGTCTCATTACAAGAGGAAGTTGGTTTGATGTCACATTGTGTCTCGTAACTAGAGGAATCAGGTTTCAGATCTGACTGAGAAGCCGTGTCCTCAAGATGAGCAACAGGAGTGCCACATTGCACCTCTGAGGAGAGGTAGTCGGGAGTGGCTTGAGAAGAGGACTCTAGAGTCAGAGAACTGCCGCACTGAGAGTTAACGAACGATTGAGTTGATTTGGCAGCGACAGGAGTTTGCTCAGTCTGGCTCTGACTTTCACTGCACGGATTGTTATCTACAATTGAGTCTGTACCAATATCTGCTGTTAGAGGTCTGTTTAAATCACATCCCACACTAACATCAGCAGTATCAACAGGGTTAGAAACAAGAGTCTCGTAAACCGTCTCATACACTGATATTAAACCTTGGAACAGCTCTTCATCTTCCTCCTCCTCGAATACAAGGTCCTCTGGAGTTTCACCATCATCAGGTGTTGGACAGAAGCCTTGCATCACATCAGAAGAGGAGGTGGACGGAGACCCCACTACTGTTATCAACCTCCTCTCCTTCATGTTCCACAAACATCTCAGAAATGTACTCGTTCACAGTCTCATCAAACTCCTCAAAGATAAGGTCCTCTGCTGTCTGACCCTCCGTGACAACACCGTCCTCATCAACCAGATACACAACGTTCCGATCAGGTGAGGGAGAGTCCTCGTCTACTACAATGTTATCTAGAACAGTGCGAGGTCCCGAGTCCCGCTCCGGAGGGGTGGTATTCCTTTGTCTGGGTAGCCCAGGAGGTCTACGTGGGGAGCTGCTAGGTGAGCTGGTGGGGTCCTCCTCCTTATCCGCAACTTCACTGTCAGTTCTACACAGCTTCTTCTTTTTCAACCTCCGTTTCTGAGCTCTTGTCAGGACTGGTTTAGGAGGCTTGGAGGGAACATCAGAGTCTGTATTAGCTTCAGAGTGTGTATCACTCTCCTGGTCAGGGGTGTCGAAGTCAGGTGACTCGCACATCTCCCTGACAGGTGAGAGAGGGGCCGGGCTAGGGTCTTGGTGAGGTGGCAGTTGAGTGTTTACATGAGGATGTATCCTCAAGAAGGAGGTGGAGGGTTTCTCTTCAATGACCACCTCATCTTCCTCCTCAGTCTCACTTAGAGACTCAAGGATATGCGAGGGCTTGTCTATGAGGATATGGAGTCTGTCTACTGTATCTGTAGTTGGGTATGGTGAGGAAGGTTTCTCCTCGTCGTTGTCTGAAGTGTTGAGAGGGTCTCTCCCAAGGAGAGCTTTGTTAAACAGAAACTGTGATGAAATATGTGGAGGAGACTGAGCGAAGGTGTTAGGACAGATAGGTGTATTTGGAGGAGCTTGGGAGTCTAACCGAAGGTCAATGAAAGTATCAGGGAAGGGAAGGAGGTCAGGAGATCTGGACTTTGTCCTCTTTTTCCTCCTCCGCCTCTTTTTAGGGTGCTTGAACACATCATCTATACCCTCAACAGTAATCTTAGGTATTGAATCTGGACGTGAAGAATATATCGGAGATTTTGCAAGCTCTGTTTCGTCTAGAGAGAAACATTCTACATCAGGAGGTCCAGAGTCTGACTCCGTACTTACGTCCTCACTCCAGAACCGCAGGCTCGCATCCATCAACTCTGCTATCAACTCAGAGTCACTGACCCTGTCCAAAGTTATCAAGTGCTCCGCTATATAGTCATTAAACGGAATATCTATCTCTCCGAACACGAGATCACCTGCATTCTCTCCATCCACAAGATAAACGTTTACTGCACCAGCTCCAGGTTCTTCCTTGCATTCAAGCTCTGAGGAGATGTCTTGCTGGAGAGACTCCTCATCAACAGAAGGCATCTTCTTTAACTCTCTTTGGTCGTCGTGAACCTCAAAGCTCGATCTGAGACTAGACTTCCCGGAACTAAAGGTGAACCAGCTAGAGGAAGTGGACGGACCGTCACTGTCAGAGGATAAACTCTCGTCTAGAATATCAAGTCTGTCCTGATAGTCTTCAGTGAGCACATTATAGCAAGCTGAGAGGGAGAACGTGGGTAGATCCTCAAACTCAGGTGGACTACCTGGCTCGGTAGAAAGGGACGAACTTTTATTGGCGATTGGAAATTTATCAATATCATCAACCGCAGCTGTCTTCTTCAGTATGTGTAACATCTCCTTCTTACCGGAGATAGCAGCATCGTATATCTCCAGCATTGCCTCGTAGACTGTGATATAATCGTTGTGAGGGAGATTATACTCCCCAAATACCATGTCTCCAGCATTACTGAACTCAGTTTCCGAGTGAGGGGGACTAGGATATAACACCTCTCCTATCGAGTACTCACTCTCGCTCTGCTTAACGTTGGGGACCAGGACTCTGGGGACATCGTCCGTGTCGGAGACACCAGGTGTTAGGAACTCCTCCTCGGGTGACTGAGAGAGTTGGTCTCCTGGTGGGAACTCCTTTACTTTCCCGGACAGTGATTCTTCAATGATAGCCTGAACAAGGTCATTGCGAGGCATAGATATGTATTTAGAGAGACCACCGATGTGAGAAGACATGATCTCCTCATCAGAGGAGAGTAGTTCTGAGGAAGTAGTACCTCGCCTTCTGGTGAACCTGCGTCTCCTACTAGAACTAGTACCAGAGAGAAGAGACGGCGAGAGAATAGACTCTAGATTCTTATCTGAACTGTCCACAGCATCTCCCAACTCTACCCCGTCATGTTCCACTTCCCCAGGGCTGTCTACACTCTTACTGCGCTTCAGTCTGTGATATATCATGGGATCTATTACATGATCTCCTGTGAAGTGATCCTTGGCGTTGTCCCTCTCGGGGATACTGTCCAGATCCATCGCCACTGGTAACATGGACATGGGCTCAGAGAGCACCTGGAGGTCCCGCTCTATTCCCTCTGATGAAGACCCTGAGATAGTGAGCACCCTGTCTCGGTCAGGTATTGTTACCAGGGATTCTGCTGTAGGACCGTCTGGCGTTTTTACTGGGTAACCATTGTTTCTGTGAGGGGATGATATCCCACTGTCAAGAGGACTGGTGCTGTTAGCAAGACCATCACCAAGTTTAGAGTCCGAAGCAGATGTTAGCGAAGGTCCTAACCCACTGTCATACTGATCTACAAGTGAGTCGTACCTTTCATCGAGAAGGGAAGATTGCTTCTGTAAAATCTTGGTTTTGATTCTTTGTTGAGGTGGTGTTAGCACAGCAGCATTATTAGCGTAGGTTATATGAACAATTTTATCAGGGTCTGGAGTATTAGACCTCTCCTCGACAGGCAAAATGTCTATCTTGAGAGGGGTCCTAGGAGGAGATAAGGGAGCAGGAGATAAGGGATCTGAAGGAGAGTCAGGGGAGAAGTAGATGCTCATGTCCTTGCCTGGAGTTACCTCCCCAACAATAGTGTTCTCTCCGTACACACAAGTCACATCAGCTGAGTAGATCTTGGGGTCTCCAGCAGGGGACTTGGAGAGGTGTTTGTCAGGCCTCAACCACACTGTACACTGGGAGGAGTAAGTTTTACCGTCCAGGTTCCTTGTGAGAGTCAGAGTTGGTGTGTTGTTTCTGGGGGCATCTCAAACAGCCGCTTAACTACAGGGTCGTCATGCTTCACCTCAGTCACCACCACGGTTTTGTGCACCTCGAAATCGTAGTCTCTGGACAGAACGATGGGGGCTGAACCTACAGGATCTAACTCCTGGCGAGCGATTTCTAGATCAGAGTTGGAGGTCAGCTCGACTATGTCAGAGAGTAGGCTCTCAACACTAACGCAGTGTTCCATGAGAGGGAGGAAACCCTCCACAGCCTCCTCTTCGTTATCAGATCCCTCAAATAGACTGACAGAGTCAGAGGAGACACTGACATAGTCCTCGTCATCTGCTACAAACATGTTGTCCTCAAGTAGATCCAGCATGTTCTCCTCTCCAGCTCGTCTAGACTTTTCACCAAGTGGAACTTCTTGAACCGGTTGTAGAGCTTAGTCTTCCGGTCTGATCGTATCGTTATCTCGCCCTCCTCGCTTTGGTGGATCACTTTAGAACTGCCAGTGTAAAACTCTTCTTTCGTACTGTTTTTTAACCTTACAGAATCTAAAGACCGGGGGGAGAAGGGCGTGTTCCCTTCCTTAGCATGCAATGCAATCCTTTTTCTTCTGATAATCTCACAAACAGGATCCTCTGCATCAACATCTCCTACATCCATGTCGTCAACCTGGCGCTTCACAGAAGCTATCTGCCACGGACAAGAGTCGTCTTCTTCGTCAAAATCTAAGAGAAGATCCTTGAAACCTTTAGGAGGAGGTCCGCACATGCTCCCCCGGTGGAGGGACGTGCTGAGGTGCTTGGAGACATTTGGGTCTTCATCATACGGTGAACTGTTACCATTGTTATTGTTCTTGGGAGGGAGAAGACCTAGTTCGTCTTCAGAAGGGAGGGAGTTGGAGGAAGGGCCTCGAGTTAGCTTCCGTTTAGTGGTGGGTGAGCTGCTCATGGGATGAGTGTAGTGTAGCGGAGTAGTACTGCAGGATATGGAAGGGATATCGTAGTCAGAGTCAACATAGGGTCCACTTCTCTTTACATGGGGAGGGGGCGAGGGAAACAACCCATGTTTGTAGATATCCTAGGAGGGGTACAAGTGGTTAGAGTCAAACAAGCACCAGGTAAAGGATTAACACGTGTAAAGGTATCATTGAGAGGACAAAATGTAGGACATTCAACAACGATACGTTTTAACAGCACTGTATATTATTCAAGTTAGAGTAGCACACAGCAGTTCGCATTTACAGTAAGATCACAAATGCTTCACCCAACAACAACAGTAACAAGCTCTATGTCAGCTTTATACACGTGTACCTAATAGATAAAGCAACCAGGATATTGCATACACACCACAAACATACAGTTTCAGAGTGTCTGTGAGTGTGTCACAGATTGTCTAATTCAGAGTAGAACTTTTAAAAGTTCACTAGTAGAACTTTAAAAAGCTAAAATTGATGAAAAACAAATGCTTTGAATCTATTTTTTCAGAGAAATTGTGCTACTTTTAAGCCAAAAAACGTGTAAAATGGTGAGAAATCGTTAAATAACGGCTTATTGGATGATATTGCGAGATAAAGTGTCTTTTAAAACAATTTAGTTCATAATTTGATCATGATTATACATTGGGGCTAAATGAAGTGTTCAAATTACTGTATAAAAATACGAGACCATAGGTCAGAAACTATAAACCAATACCTTAAGAACGACAAATTTAGTCTATCATAAATTTAGTCGAAATTTAGTCTAAAGTTGTTGTAAACCAAATTTATTGAGACTAAATTATTCGGCGGCTAATTTAATAGCAGACGAAAATTTCAGTAGAGAATATATGACATGAATATTATTGAGCTTACATTGTTCATAATTAATATAATGACCGTTCCTACTACTGAACTACTTTGACTATTAGTTATTACAAGTGAAATTTAATCAACATGCCTGAGTAGAGGTTATGAATTTGTACAAAATCGGGAAAAAAATAGCTAAATAATGGAAAAAACAAATAAATGGAATGGAAAATGGTCTCGAAAAGTCGAAACATGTGACTAGAATTGTTGTACACTAAAAATTTGTGACTTAAATTATGGTAACCAACATTTTTTTAACCAAATTTATTGCGAACCAAATTTATTGCGATCCAAATTTTTTGCGAACCAAATTTATTGGCCTTAAGGTACCAAGACAACGAAATTGTGCAGTAACAGACAAATAGAATACAGGAACAAATGGCAGAAAACTCAATTAACTTTGCGATCTCGTCCTTAGTCACATGGTTCTACATTAACTCCATATGCCCATATATAGTATCATATCTTCAGAGCCTGAATATAAACAGTTTAAAAATATCACCCTACGGGCTCGTTCATAGTGCCAAACACTCATTATTCAAAGGCAGCTGTATAATGCGCTGTGTATAATGTGCCCCTTTAATTACCTACCTGTATGTGCCCCCCCCCCCTAACTCTGTAAGGGGCCACATATTCTACATTTGAGTGCGTAATTTGGGCTATACAAGAAAATATAAACGAAGCGCTCGTTAATGTCACGTTACAAGAGCAGTGTAAAGATTACACTAGCTAGAAGTAAAGAAGAGCCCTATTCTACACAACATGTGCTCATTAGATATGCATCATAATGACTGGTCGGTTATAAGACTATCATTAAACCACCTGTAGAGTAAGAGTGCTGGAATTATACAGGTATAAGCTGGAAGAGAAAGAGTGTTGGTATACCAGGTATAAGCTGGAAGAGTAAGCTGATATGACACATGACAAGTACTGGAGAAGTGCACTCAGAGAACGCGAGGGATCTTGAGATGGAGTGAGAAGTGTATATTATATCTCAATATCTCTTGTGTATATAAACTGATGGGAGGGTAAGCAGTGTACAATGTATAAACACACATCATGGGAACACGCCTAACAAACAAAGCGCAGTAATAATGTAGCAGCTGGAGTAAGAATATATATTGAATCTTAAGAGGGTCGTGCCCCACAATATTGTGCCCCACAACATAACAACTGAATACACACAAAGACTGAAAGAGAACCTAGTGCAGGCTTAAAGAGGAGTAATGTATAATCCCACAGATCACTAGTGTGGTGAACAGTATTGAAACACTGTCCCGCAGGGTCCAGAGAGGGCGGGAGTTAGGGGGATACTGCACCTGCTGTACTACATAATGTATTACAAGATACTGCACCTGCTGTACTACATAATGTATTACAAGATACTGCACCTGCTGTACTACATAATGTATTACAAGATACTACACCTGCTGTACTACATAATGTATAACAAGATACTACACCTGCTGTACTACATAATGTATAACAAGATACTGCACCTGCTGTACTACATAATGTATTACAAGATACTGCACCTGCTGTACCTACTACATAATGTATTACAAGATACTGCACCTGCTGTAATACATAATGTATTACAAGATACTGCACCTGCTGTACTACATTATGTATTACAAGATACTACACCTGCTGTACTACATAATGTATTACAAGATACTACACCTGCTGTACTACATAATGTATAACAAGATACTACACCTGCTGTACTACATAATGTATAACAAGATACTGCACCTGCTGTACTACATAATGTATTACAAGATACTGCACCTGCTGTACCTACTACATAATGTATTACAAGATACTGCACCTGCTGTAATACATAATGTATTACAAGATACTGCACCTGCTGTACTACATAATGTATTACAAGATACTACACCTGCTGTACTACATAATGTATTACAAGATACCACACCTGCTGTAATACATATTACAAGGTAATGAGCCTGGTTGTAAGGGCGTGTAGTTGTAATGACATCACTAGATCATCTCTCGTAATTACATGGGAATTGACCTATAATTAACCAATTATGCGGGAATTTTCAAGTGATTATACTGGAAAATATTCTGAAATTGTTTTAAATTAAATGTGAGAATAAGGGAGCGCTGCCTGTCAGTCTACCATCACGAGGAAGTAATAAGATCGCCGCTACTTTTACTGAGGATGCATCTGAACAATAAAAGGGAGGATCAGACATCAAGGTACTAGTAGTAGCAGCAGTAGTAGTTATAAAGGAACTTAGTACTAGAGGAACTAGAGTACATTCGTACGTCAGGGGGATGATTTTAAAGTAGAAAAGTGACACTAGAAGACACTAAGTGAGAAGTAGAATCATGTTAAATTAAAAGTGTAACAACCCAGCGATAACGAGACTAACTCGCAATATATCAGTTTTTAAGTGAACCAGGTAAAGTAATAACTTAATAAGGGGTGTTTAAAGGTTTAATAAACGACACACCACATAACAGTAAGCCATGTGTCAGTGGAATAGTCCTATATGTGTGTCCTACTGCACCGTGCTGAGGAATTCATAAACATTTATTGGTAACCTTTATTTGGTAGCCTAGGTGGCTTCATTGCTTTTATTCATTTGCTTATATTATTAGAAATAAGAAAGCCTATGACAGTTAAGAACACGGGGAAGCAAAACCCTAGAAAGCAAACGAAACGCAGAGAGCAAACGAAACGCAGAGAGCAGAACCAAGGAAAGAGCACAACATCAGGGAACCGTTTATCAATCAAATGAAGCTGCTTGATTAACCAGCACTAAATTTTAGTAAAATTATAGTTACTGTATAGTTACTGTAGCGAGACAGACGCACTACTGAGACAGACGCAATCGTATAAAGGATAATTAACTATAGTATTCAACATATAAGTGTAATTATGGGCATATTATCATCATCACGCCACAATGAGATCAATAGTTGCTTGACAAATTATGTTGATGTAACGAATATTATAATCAACAACAATAATCAATAAGGGAAATATTTAAAACAAAACAGGCAACCAATTAAGCTGCCGGAGATATGGCGCAGGGCTCACAAATAACTAAGTAGGAACACTAAGGACACTAAGGACACAGCAACCTATAGTAGCAATTACACTGGTGTACTGTTTACATCAATGACATGGTATATATGTTGCTGTGTGTATGTAATAGTATTGGAGACCTGTATAAGTGGTATTATAGGGCTCACAAGGCGACTTCCTTGTAATTAATGTTCTGGTAAAGCTATTATCTGTTAAGTTAGCCTATGGAAGGGCAGCTTGATAGTATACCCATCGGAGCTTATACACAAGACTAATTATTGTAAGTTAATATAAGAATATAAGGGGACAGAGGGCGCCCCCCCCCCTCCGTCGTTACAAAGGTTGTCATGTGCAGTTCGTTAACGTGCAAGCAGCGAGAAAACACAATTACAACTTCATACCAACGAGGAATGGAAACAAAAGAAATCATTTATTTCAACGAATTGTGTTGCCAATTCCAGGTAGATGATGAAATGTTGGGGTGACTGTTTACATTGTAGAGGTCTAAATGAGTTTGTACACTGTACACATAGGACTAAAGGGGTGGGAACCTTGTGTAGTGTAAACATAGGACTAAAGGGGCGGGAACCTTGTGTAGTGTAAAAAACAAACTAAAAGTAGTGTAAACAATAAACCAAGTGGAGTAGGTACTGAAAACAAAACACAGGAAACTTATTGCTAATTTCTGTAATTACAGCATTATAATGGGATGGATCTAATTGAGTGTAATCTATACACAGCTTAGTGTAATTGCTCGCGTATTAAATCTTACTATATACAAAGCGAGACGATATATATGTGTTTATCCGTGCCATTTTATTGACACCGCGGCATCAACTTTATCGCGACTTTCCGCAAAAACCGTAAAAGATATACAACTGAAACTTTTTTGACTGGGTCAAATGCTTTAATGGCCTCCAAATCAGCATGAAAAAAATAAAAAATAGGCCAAGGAGTAGGAATTTTATAGCCCAAAATTTGGATCCCCAAGTGGTGTCAAAAACGCGAATTAAATAGGTAATAATTATTTTAGTTTCCTGAGTCTTGACACCATTTTAGGGTTATACGGGTTCTTGCTAGTACGTTTAATTGGAGTGGCTCAAAAGTTTAATCGGTTTAGATTTTACTTATGATTCGAATTTTGAATTTAATTTCAGATAGCACGCTCTACAGCGGAAAGGAAATAAAGAGTGTAACAACTACAACGGAAAGAAAGAGTGTAACAACTACAACGGAAAGAAAGAGTGTAACAGGTATACAAATACAGAACAGCGCCAATACAGCTGAGTTAGCAGCGGAAGAGACTGCAGCTGTGTGTGAAGTAATTAGCGGCGTACACTACTAATAATGTATTTCACTAATTGACACTGTAGTTGATAAGGGAAGCCTGTTAGCTACGTGCGCTGTTGAATTAATTAAATTTACATCTAAATAGTTAATATTTTACCACACCTACTAATAATACGTATCGTCATAGCAACAAGCCAACCAGTTTGAAAATGCGCCGATGTGGTTACCAACTTTTGCGATCAGTGGAAATAAAATTACATTTATAATTTACATTTCAGTGAACAGTGAGAACATGATGCACTTTACTCTTCGCCAAAGTAAAGGTTGAAGCCTTCTTCCATAACCCTCTCCCCTGATCCTCGCCTTATTCCCTAACCATGGCAATCTTCTCTGACCCTTAGATGGCAAGTACGTACGGTACAGGGCTTTAAGTACGTACGGTACAGCTACTTTTAAAGGTACGTACCGTACAGGCACTGTAAGGTACAATTTTTTTCAAATTTTTAGAATCAACTTCAGTGAATTACTTGCAATTTTTGATTAGTATTATCATCATGGGATCATCATAATTTTTGAGATAGAAGTCGAAAATAAACACAGTGGTTAAAACAATAAAAGATTTAAGAGGAAAATTTATGTACCGGATCGCTCTTAACCGGTACTACACTACTACTACTTGTAATTAGGTTCCAATTCTTCTACTTCTGGATTATTCTGCGCACGTACCGTCTAGTTTTTGTTTCCATTGCTATCAACTGGATTTGTACCTTTCAGCCTACCTTATTAAGTACGTACCGTACAGCTAATTTAAAGGTACGTACCGTACGTACTTCAATGAAACAAGAAATTTTCAATGAAACAAGAAATTTAATTTTAGCACATTTTTACAGAATAAAAAGATGTAAAACAATTCATAAAATATAATGCTTATTTGGTGTATGACTTTTTGTCCTGACTGCTAGTTTGGTTTATGAAGGACAGGTAACTAACGGGGCAAGGAATGCGCGTGCCTGGAAGCTTTTGCACACACCGAAACGCTAGTTCAGTTAAGTTTTTAGAGACAAGGCTCAGATTAGGACTAGAAGAAAAATTGTTAGCAGACATTAGAGGTTCTGTTTATAATTGTTACTATAGGTTGCAGTCTTGTTGTGACAAAAAGTCTACACTAAAACATGATTTAGTTTATATTTAGGATATAAAATGCAGCTTAAAGGTGGATATTGGAGAGCTGGTGAAAGATTATGGCCTTTGTATCAATTGTTATAATAAGCTATAAATATCTTAAACTATACAGTGCTAATTAAAAATTTCCTTAACCTTCATTCTCAAATTAGATTTTTTAAATTCAAAAATAAATATACAATGATTTTATTAAAAACTTTCTCACACATACTTTACTCACAGGACAAGACTTGGAAAACAGTACTTGCCATCTTAGCTCTGACCCTGGCAATCTTATCTGACCCGGACCTTCTTCTCTAATCCTGGCCCTCTTCCATTAGTCGACGGAACATAGATTTCGATCAAAGATCGCCTTATGTAAGGTTGTAGTTTGTGAGAACATTAACTAAAAAAAGGGCCCTCAGTATACCTCTGGCCCACTGTATTGATGCAGATGTTTTACATTAGGATATATTATGATTATATATCGTATACTTCTCCTCAGTTCAGAAATCACTCATGGAGAAGTACTGGGAATATTTTCCGATCGAGTGGGAGCCAAGTTAACAGACAGGGCGATAACTTCCTGATTAGATACCGTGTTTAATGTCTAAATAGCTTGAAGATGGCCCTCTTCCATGTCTAAATAATAAGTTAAACCACTACGAATCCGTGTCTTAGTTATTAAAACTTGCGCCAAGACATCTTTTTATAACAATGAAAAATATGTGCCGACTCCATCATCTATTCAAACTAACAATCCCTGAATTCCGATGTCATAGAAAAGTGACTCGTGTCTGCAGATCCAACTGTCTTACCGTGTCTAAAGTCTATTGATAATAAGATAAAGAGAGAGAATAAGATAAACCACTACACATCCATGTATATCTATACTTAGTTATTAAACCTTGCACAAACGTCCAACATGTACTTTCATAACAATAAAAATATGTGCCGACTGCCGACACGATCATCTATTCTAACTGAAAATTGCTGAATTTCGACGTCATAGAAAAGTGACTCGTGTCTGCTGCTCATTTTTCAGCTGTAATCACGTTCCGCATGATAAAAAGAAATGTGTCTTTGTATTTTGATTCATTACTCCGTCTAGTCATTGCCTACTGATAATAGTTTAGTACTAAGATGCATCCCTCAATCACGCTCTGATAAACCACCACAACAAAGCGTTCATAATATGACGATGTAAAGATTTCGGGCGACGTTCTTATTCTATGTTGTATGATGAGGAATGTGTATAATTTCTAATGGCGTAAGTCTAATAACCCCCACTCTATACGCTGATATCTAATTGCTGTTTTGTTGTTACTGCTAGGTTATTGAATTGAGGCGATCGGTCCTATGAGCTCTCCGAGCGGTAAAAGAAAGATAACTCGAAGCCCTTCCTCACTACCTCCTGAAGAGATAAGTTCACATGACGTGTTAACACTACAACAAGAAGGCGAAAACCGATCCAAAACCCAGATTCTGATAACGATCTCAACGTAAAGGAGTTTAACTCGCAATCTGAAGAAGATTCTGTCCCCATATCAACAGAAGAAGAGTGGGTCGATCATACAATTGATTTCTTGGGACACAGTGAGACTCTTTTAATAAGTATAACAGAAGACAAACTTTCGTCTTCCTCTTTTAAAGTAGGTAACAGCGGTATCAGATCGTCGCATGATGAAGATGTGCTAGATGTTATTTCCCCAATGACCTCTAGTAACAGCGGTAACAGACCGGCAGTCAATGATGACCCAGATGTCGCCAAGTTCCTGAAAACATCTCTCCACAGAGGCAGTATGAATAGGCCTCCACCGAAAGGCTTTAAGGATCTGTTAGATTTTGAAGAGGAGGATGAGTCTTGTCCGTGGCAGATCTCGACAGTGCGGAGATCTGTTAGCGGAATAGATATAGGTGATGTAAACATGCAAGAGGAAGATCTGTTAGAACTGGAACAGGATCTAAACATACAAGAGGAAGATCTGCCAGAACTTGAAGAGGATCTAAACATGCAAGAGGAAGATCTGCCAGAACTGGAACAGGATCTAAACATGCAAGAGGAAGATCTGCCAGAACTTGAAGAGGATATAAACATGCAAGAGGAAGATCTGCCAGAACTGGAACAGGATCTAAACATGCAAGAGGAAGATCTACCAGAACTGGAACAGGATATAAACATGCAAAAGGAAGATCTGCCAGAACTGGGACAGGATCTAAACATACAAGAGGAAGATCTGCCAGAACTTAAAGAGGATCTAAACATGCAAGAGGAAGATCTACCAGAACTTGGACAGGATCTAAACATGCAAGAGGAAGATCTGCCAGAACTGGAAGAGGATCTAAACATGCAAAAGGAAGATCTGCCAGAACTGGGACAGGATCTAAACATACAAGAGGAAGATCTGCCAGAACTTAAAGAGGATCTAAACATGCAAGAGGAAGATCTACCAGAACTTGAAGAGGATCTAAACATGCAAGAGGAAGATCTGCCAGAACTTGAAGAGGATCTAAACATGCAAGAGGAAGATCTGCCAGAACTTGAAGAGGATCTAAACATGCAAGAGGAAGATCTGCCAGAACTTGAACAGGATCTAAACATGCAAGAGGAAGATCTGCCAGAACTTGAAGAGGATCTAAACATGCAAGAGGAAGATCTGCCAGAACTTGAAGAGGATCGAAACATGCAAGAGGAATATCTGCCAGAACTTGAAGAGGATCTAAACATGCAAGAGGAAGATCTGCCAGAACTGGAAGAGCTTCTAAACATGCAAGAGGAAGATCTGCCAGAACTTGAAGAGGATCTAAACATGCAAGAGGAAGATCTGCCAGAACTTGAAGAGCTTCTAAACATGCGAGAGGAAGATCTGCCAGAACTTGAAGAGGATCTAAACATGCAAGAGGAAGATCTGCCAGAACTGGAAGAGGATCTAAATATGCAAGAGGAAGATTTGCCAGAACTGAAAGAGGTTCTAAACATGCAAGAAGAAGATCTGCCAGAACTGAAAGAGGATCTAAACATGCAAGAGGAAGATCTACCAGAATTTGAAGAAAAGGTTGACGAAAAACAGGACTGGGATCAAGATAACGGGGACCTTACTATTTTTGCTGTAATCTCTCGACTTTTTCAATGTGGGCAATACCCGCAAGATCTCTGCCTAAGAGGTAGATATAGACCCTTCAAACTTCGTGTTGTGTCAAGACGTATTACTTGAAGAAAAGGATTCTCGGATTGTTGATTACTTAGTTGTAGTGAACGGTGGATTTTGACGTACTGAACGCACGTTCCAGTCATTTTGTAGTGTTCACGTTATTGAACGTTTTTAGTGAACGTCAGTGATTATCAAAAACAAAAAATTATGAAAATAAACTTTTTGAAATCTTAATTTCCCCAACTGATAATTATTAATTTCCCCAAAATGAAGCAATCCTATTTCTGTGCACAAAAGATTAAGATTAAAAGGGTAATATTATTATCAATAATTTATAAGGTATAAAATGGTAATATTGTATCGTATCGTATAATTGTAGTAGTATTAATGCTATTAAAGGTACAGGTACTCAAGTTCAACACGCACTCTAGTTCGACACGTACTGTAGTTCGACAAACCCTTAGGTTTGACTCTGTCGAACCAAAGCGCGCTTTGAAATCTCCGGGCTCAAGCAACGATCCTTTACGAGCTTGTAATCTATTCGTTTGTTTGCTTTCCACTTGTCTCATGCTATTCAATTATGTGTGAATGTAATCTCTATAATCCATATTCCATATCTATGAACATTTAATTGTCCTCATACTCGTAAGTTAATTGTTAGTTAGCAGAATTGTAGACTTAGCGGAGAGATAAAAGACTAACGTAGTAACTCGTACTCCGTTTTATAGATCTAGATTGTTGAGTACGCTATATAAATATCAACCACATACCATACTTTATATTATCACAAACGACTAGTAACCGAGTACTGGTCTAGAGATTTGGCTGCTGAATCGAAAATAGTCGGATATCGATCTATTTCCTGTTAGCTAGAGACCAGAACTGATTGAAAAACAGGAGAATTAAAACTATACTGAAAGGTTCTGGAATTTCTAACCGTTCATGGTTGCTAGATGTCAGAAAATTTTTTAATCTGCCATTGAACCCTGTGATCCTATAAATATAATGAGGACCCGGGAATAGCCATTGGATCACAAGCAGAAACTATTTGTCGAACTAGAGTACGCTACCTGGACTCTAGTTCGACACGTACCGAAATACGACATGGGTGATATCTGGCGAATTTAATTTGTCGAATTATAGTGCGTTTCGAACTAGAGTACGTGAATCGTACTGAACACCACTAGTAATTTATCCATAACGTTCAGAACATGAGATGAGTTTTAGTGAACGGATGTACAGAAAATTGTTAGTGAACGTTCCGTACGTGCACTACAACTAAGGTTGATTAGGGGAACTTATCTGGTGGATTTAAATTGTGGATCTGTTTTTAAACTAATCTTGTTACGGTGTTTAGGCTCCAGGATATTGAATTGTATCTCTTTCAGTTATTAGGTCCTTAATTTGATTTGTAAATACTTAGTTGTTATTTGAAACACAATTAAACCATCTAAAGTGTCAAAATTGTCGTCCAATAAAAAATTCTAAAATGTTAAAAGTAATTAATTTAAAATAAAGTATAACATAACCACCTATAACCTCAAATAACGAAATACTTTCAATTATTAACTAATTATAACGCTAGTCAATATTCCTCTGCGTGAAATGTACGAGTGCATCACAATCTTTAAGTCTCTGCGCGGCGTCCTCCGCAGTAAGATCTCGCTGGCACTGAGCCAGCATTTCATACCCTGCAATGTGTTTCTTTACAGTAGCAGTGCGCAGTAACGGAGGGTAATAGTGCGCGTGGAGTTGCCAATGTGAGCAGTCTGATGCAGTGTTGGGGGCCTCGTGCCATCCCATGGAGTAGGGAAACGAACATTCAAACAGATTATCGTACCTTGTCAGGTATCTCTTCATTGTACTGGATAAGTCTAGTACCTGAGGGTAATATCTTCTTAGTAATGATATCTTACAAATCAACTGATAACAATAAAAGAGTTGTATCTATAGCACTAAATAACTTTGCAAAGACCACGCACCTCCTCCTCGGTGAGGTCCCTGAGCTTTGTCACGTGACGGGTAGGTAAAAGTAGGAGCTCAAAAGGCCACTTGGCCCAGTAGGGTACTAGAGCTACCCAGTATTCACTCTCCTCTACTACCCGTTTTTTACACCTCATCTCCTTTTCTAGGTACTTTACCTGAGGAATTTAGGCATATTAAAGTGTTAAGAAGTTTACAATGTATTATTTTAGATTCTATCGAATCAGTAGATTTAAAATGAGTCAGGAATGTCAGTCAATACGTGTTGTGATTGAGCTTAATCAAATTAATTAAACTTGTAAAGATGGACCAATTATACCAGACTCATCATAGTGAAGTTGTCCGAAAAACAGAACAAATAACTTAGCGGAGGAGATATTGTGCACGTACAAGAAGTGGGGAGTTGTGTTTGTGATATTGTGCACGTACAAGAAGTGGAGAGTTGTGTTTGTGATATTGTGCAATTACAAGAAGTGGAGAGTTGTGTTTGTGATATTGTGCACGTACAAGAAGTGGAGAGTTGTGTTTGTGATATTGTGCACGTACAAGAAGTGGAGAGTTGTGTTTGTGATATTGTGCACGTACAAGAAGTGGAGAGTTGTGTTTGTGATATTGTGCACGTACAAGAAGTGGAGAGTTGTGTTTGTGATATCATGCACGTACAAGAAGTGGAGAGTTGTGTTTGTGATATCATGCACGTACAAGAAGTGGAGAGTTGTGTTTGTGATATTGTGCACGTACAAGAAGTGGAGAGCTGTGTTTGTGATATCATGCACGTACAAGAAGTGGAGAGTTGTGTTTGTGATATCATGCACGTACAAGAAGTGGAGAGTTGTGTTTGTGATATTGTGCACGTACAAGAAGTGGAGAGTTGTGTTTGTGATATTGTGCACGTACAAGAAGTGGAGAGTTGTGTTTGTGATATTGTGCACGTACAAGAAGTGGAGAGTTGTGTTTGTGATATTGTGCACGTACAAGAAGTGGAGAGTTGTGTTTGTGATATCATGCACGTACAAGAAGTGGAGAGTTGTGTTTGTGATATCATGCACGTACAAGAAGTGGAGAGTTGTGTTTGTGATATTGTGCACGTACAAGAAGTGGAGAGTTGTGTTTGTGATATTGTGCACGTACAAGAAGTGGAGAGATGTGTTTGTGATATTGTGCACGTACAAGAAGTGGAGAGTTGTGTTTGTGATATTGTGCACGTACAAGAAGTGGAGAGTTGTGTTTGTGATATTGTGCACGTACAAGAAGTGGAGAGTTGTGTTTGTGATATTGTGCACGTACAAGAAGTGGAGAGTTGTGTTTGTGATATTGTGCACGTACAAGAAGTGGAGAGTTGTGTTTGTGATATTGTGCACGTACAAGAAGTGGAGAGTTGTGTTTGTGATATTGTGCACGTACAAGAAGTGGAGAGTTGTGTTTGTGATATTGTGCACGTACAAGAAGTGGAGAGTTGTGTTTGTGATATTGTGCACGTACAAGAAGTGGAGAGTTGTGTTTGTGATATTGTGCACGTACAAGAAGTGGAGAGTTGTGTTTGTGATATTGTGCACGTACAAGAAGTGGAGAGTTGTGTTTGTGATATTGTGCACGTACAAGAAGTGGAGAGTTGTGTTTGTGATATTGTGCACGTACAAGAAGTGGAGAGTTGTGTTTGGAGAAGTACTCCCTCTGATGAGAGTCTTCTAAAGAGATGAGGTAAGGAAGAAAACTAGAGCTCCATATTTGACAGTGAGGATGAGAGTTACTGCAGCCAACCATCGCTCCTTTGTTCTCGAATATCTGAGGGAGTCGCGAGGTTATATTAAGTAATGAGAATGAAGTGACATCTAAAATCTACTGTGTAAAATTCGTTGAGGAACCAGAATAGTTCAAATAATTTTATTGAAATTTTCCAAAAACCCGCTCCGAATCGAATCAGTTACCAGACAAGTTACCTGTACGTAAAGGTTGTATTTGAGCTGATCGGAGAGTCTGATCCACTCCCTGATAACACTCAGTATATCCTCGTGTCTCATGAGAGGGAGAGAGAGGTGAGAGTGGGGTGAGAAACACATCACGTGACACTCCCCTCCAGCTGGCTCACTCTGGAACAACTCATCCTCTGGCTCTGTGCCAGGACACGTGCTAGCTTTCTCACCTGGCTCTGTGCCAGGTTCCTCACCTGGCTCTGTGCCAGGTTCCTCACCAGGGGTGGCTTGTACAAGCGCGGAAAAGTCGTTAGGAAATACAAATGTGGAGGTGTAGAGGGGGTTAACACTGCCGTTAGATCTTGCAGCACCAGGGGACAGATAACTGGACACTTTAGTGAACCCCTGCAGTAAGAAAAGTTGAGACAAGGTGAGACAGGGAGCAATACTAGTAGTAAAACCATACTTATAAAACTTATATTATATTTGACCAAAACCCATAATCATGGGTAGAGTGTACCGCTGCCAGTGTCTCTCTTTTCCAAACAAAAGGAAATGATATTAATTTGAGGAACCGTCCGCTAATGCAAATTGATACCGAGAATGAAATCGGTCGCTCGCTTTTCCCATTCATTCACGGCTTACGAATTGTAATAAAGCTTATTAAATGGGAAAAGCGAGCGACCGATTTCATTCTCGGTATCAATTTGCATTAGCGGACGGTTCCTCAAATTAATATCATTTCCTTTTGTTTGGAAAAGAGAGACACTGGCAGCGGTACACTCTACCCATGATTATGGGTTTTGGTCAAATATCATCTCTTTTTGATTATAATGTCAGGATAATTTACACAATCGAAACTTCATTAACAAGGAGGTAATTCCGACGATTTCGAAATTCTGCCTTTGAAAACGTTTCCTTGTGTTTAGTTAGGTATATCTGTCGATAACCGACTGAATATGGCACTTTTTACTCATTCAAGTTGGCATTAAATTCATATATAATGCCATTTAAATATCGTGGAAAGCAGAATATATTCGAAATCACGAATGAGCAAAATTCTCACCTTTCGCACGTGCAAACTTTGAGCGGACGTTGCGTGCGCATACAATATTGAATCACCGTAAATTTTTGCAAAGTGGTATTTAATATGTAGTTTGATAAGCATGCAAAGTTTCAGAAGATTTCAAAAAGAACTTGGATCACAACGGGACTCCCAAAGTTGATAAAAATCGTGAAAATCAAAATTTTTAGTGATTTTAGCTATTTTAAATAAATTTGGGCGAGTCCCCACGTGTGCAACTTTTCGATTTTTAACTTTAAAACTAGCCTATAACACAATTTACACCTTTAAGAAGCAAAATTGAGCTCCACAACCCAAGGGATGACCCAACACCAGAGAATACTAATTCACAACTTTTGTGTTTTTATAAAATTATTCTTCAAAAAAGCACTAACTTCAATAGCAAATATCTTTATGAAGGAGCAAGGTAGGAAACTATTCCGGTAGATTTTCGGAATGCTTGAACAATTATCTAAGATGAAAATGTCCTCAGATTTTGAATAAAATTACTCCTTAATAGCGTAAAATCGATTTGAAAAGTTGTTACTTTGTCAAAAATCAAGTTTTTAAAACACTTAATTTGATGACGTCATCAAGTGATGATGATGACGTTAAATTATTTTTCAATACAATGTAAACTAAAGCTTAAACGATTATCTTTAAAACCTGTGGTTCGAGATGACTGTATCGTTTATACTTTCGAATCTACGGACACTTAAATGTAGGCTACAAGTACAATTGACTGCAAAAAGCGTCTATATTATATATTATATATCTTCACGACAATCTGTTGTAAAACAGGGGTTCCAGACAACCCACTTCACGATACTCCTGAAACATAAAATTTTTTTTACAGTCGATTTGGACAAGGTCTAGACGCCCTGCAAAGTTTCAGATCTCTAACTCAATTTTAACATGGTTTTTAAGGCACCTGAATATGGCGATTTTGGGTTTTTTACCTAATTTCGTATAACATGCTGGCGCGTATTTTGCGCAAATTTCTTAAAAACCTCCATATAACTATTTCTTATTCCTGTCATCTTTAACATTGAATTAGAATGTTTTGAACTAAAATGTACCTGCTGATCTACTTTCGATGAGTCTTAATGCCTGGAAATCAATAAAGGGGATATAATAGTATAGGGGGTAAATAGTATTGTGAATATAAGGGCGACGGTAATGCTTGCCAGCATTGTGATAATAACCGAGGTGTGTACGCATGATTCACAGTTTCGCTTCAAAGACAAGTCTAAAACATCGAATCAATAGTAATATTCCCGGGGATTGTAATATCAATAGTAAAGGGACTGTAATATCGATAGTAATATTCCCAGGGATTGTAATATCAATAGTAAAGGGATTGTAATATCAATAGTAATATTCCCAGCGATTGTAATATCAATAGTAATATTCCCGGGGATTGTAATATCAATAGTAATATTCCCGGGGATTGTAATATCAATAGTAATATTCCCGGGGATTGTAATATTGTTACCTGTCCTGTAGAGCTACTCTTCTCGCCGCCCCAGGGTCTGGAGATGCGGTGAGGGGACACTATTATCCACTCTCCCGTCAGAGGGTTCCGTCTCTGTGTTGCCATACTAGTAACAGTGAGGGGTGAATAAGTGAATAAGTGAATAAGTGAATAAGTAAATAAGTAAATAAGTAAATAAGTAAATAAGTAAATAAATAAATAAATAAATAAATAAATAAATAAATAAATAAATAAATAAATAAATAAATATTAAATAAATAAATAAATAAATAAATAAATAAATAAATAAATAAATAAATAAATAAATAAATAAATAAATAAATAAATAAATAAATAAATAAATAAATAAATAAATAAATAAATAAATAAATAAACAAACAAATAAGTAAGTAAGTAAGTAAGTAAGTAAGTAAGTAAGTAAATAAGTAAATAAGTAAAGAAGTAAATAAGTAAATAAGTAAATAAGTAAATAAGTAAATAAGTAAATATTAGTGGTGTTAACGGACTTGCTTACTTTTAGTACTGAAAATAATTTTAGTATAATATGATTGTCCATGACATTGCAAGACTTCTGCTTTTAATTCACTGTAAGTTCATGTACATATAAAACTAGTTGAAGGATAATGATTGCCTGTAGAGCCGCGCAATTTGGGCAACAAGCCATGTGCAGTGTGCCCGCTGTGCGTTGAGCGCACTGTGCGTAATGCGCGCTGTGCAGTGTGCGCGGCTCTGTTTTACTCACCTCTTACAGAGAAGCAAGTGATCAACAACCTGGGTAAGATGATGATAGAACTGCATAGAATATTGTTTAACTTTAGCAGTGATTTCAGCCATTCTACTCGAACAGACAATCTTAATTTGTTCTAAATCGTCTTATTGTTGTTTTCTGTTGTACAGTGTTCAACTTTTTCCAGAGTGTGCGTAATGTTTTGCTGTATAAATGAGACAGTCCTTTGTCCGTACTGACTGAATATAAACCTATGATTGCGGCAACTACAAATTAGTAGGTCATGTCGTTTATCATCCCTGCAGTAGTCAATGTATTTGCAGGATACGGGACAGCCCTAGTCGCTGCTGGGGCAGAGGCAGCAGTAATAGGAGCAACATTAGCAACAGAAGTTAGCACTGTAGTCGGAGCAATCGGGGCTGCGGTTGGAGCTGCTGGAGCAGTCGGTTCTGCAGTCGGAGCTGCTGGAGCCAGCACTATACTGGGAACAGCTAACACTATACTAGGAACAACTAGCACTGTGTTTGGTGCAGCTGGCGCTGCAGTTGGAGCTGCTGGTGCTGCAGTTGGAACAGCTGGTGCTGCAGTTGGAACAGCTGGCGCTGCAGTAGGAACAGCTGGTGCTGCAGTTGGAACAGCTGGTGCTGCAGTTGGAGCTGCTGGCGCTGCAGTTGGAGCTGCTGGCGCTGCAGTTGGAACAGCTGGTGCTGCAGTTGGAGCCGCTGGTGCTGGCACTATTGTCGCTGGGGCTGGGGCTATGGCTGCATCATTCAGTGTGGGCGCTGGGGCAAGATACGGCACACTTAGATATCAGGACCTGAACTCGGACCTCATTGGGTCGGATGATAGACCCCTTTTAGTGGACGACACTCTCATGAACAGTCTACAGGGACAGCTATACGTGTTTACTCACAAGGCTATTTGGGGATGTTGGCTACTATTACCAGCCGGAGGACACACTGCTAGAGACGTGGTTAATACAGTGGTGGAGTTGTCACCTACTGAGCACTGGGCTTTTGTAGCCAGGGCTGAATGCAAGGCTTTAAATCCTCCTCAGGTAGCATACTTTATCGCTCAGTTTGGTAACGGGGACTTCATACAACCAGCGGAGGAGATAGGACGAGATGATGACAACGCAGAACTATTCAGAGGTCTCCTCCAAGAGAGGAACAAGGCCCATGCTGCTTTGTGTATTGTTCAAGGTCCCTCTAATCCTGACGTTTGGATTCACAGCCCTGATGAGGGAGCTCCTGCGAAATCAGAAAATGATAATCCGGAGTTACGCCCCAAGAGATATGTGTACAAAGATAAGCGACTGTGCAGTCCAGCATTTAGGGAAGATGAGTGGGCACCTATGAGGAAAACAATGAAGTTACGAGAGCTGAACGACTGTATTTACGACACCAAATGCACTGGAAGGAATTACGATGCTATCAACAATAACTGTCAACATTTTTCAGTGGCCCTTTTCAACGACATGTTATGAAGTTATGAATACTCGGAAATGTTGAACTAATCAGACTAAGGATTACTTAAACTGCTTATCTTATCGAACTTTGAACGGACATTAATTGGACGCTGGAGGCCCTAGACAATTGTTCCGCTCAGAACAAATGCTGGACGCTTTACACTGCGTTATGTTCGCTCATAAACAGCCCTGACCTCGGGCTTGACACGATAACAGTGGAATATTTGGAACCAGGCCATAAGTCCATAAGCACTGACTCGTTCCACCATAAACTGGAACTGTCCATCAAACAGTGCGGACAGCTACATAATTATGAGGACTTTGTTGGTGCAGTGGAAAAGGTGGGTACTGCTCTTTCTATGGCCTGTTCGGACTTTCATTCTTGGCCTAGGTCATATGGGACAAGCAACCGCTGTAAAACAGAAAGACCATTGGTCGAGAAGGTGAAGGTTATCAGGTTTTAGCGAGGTTTCCTTCGCTCTGCTCCTTTTCTGCGGCAGAAAGAAGAGAGACAGATCCGGTTAGGTATAATCATAGCTTTCCCACAAAATCAACTACGGGGTATAACAAGCTCTAAAAAGAAATATATAGTTCAAAAACTTTGTAGACTCATGAGCCCCCGCAGTAGAGTATTTTGGGTTGATCTTCCCAGCCGATCTCAATAGAGAATATAAACAATATTTATTAATGTGTATTTTCGTTTACCATTTACCAATTATTATAATTTTACATTTTTATACGCTTGTTTTTCTTTGTCTTGCGTTACGATATCAATTATCATTAACTAGAAACCCGCTAGTCGAAAGCTTTGTTCGAGGAAATTTAAAAAATCAGTTATGCTTTAATTTCTATTCATCATCTAGCTCTGTTATACTGTGGAAATTATGGATTTTTTCGTCAAGTTTTAAATATAAATAGATATATTCTCGATAGTATTGCCTGAATAAATAGTATCTGGAGAGAAGATTTGTAGGATACAATACTTGTATTGAGTAGGAATAGTGTGCCTCGTGACGTGTAAAGCTGTAGGTACTTCGTACGACGCGACAATAGCTGGATAACGCAATATTGTTCACACACGTTTCGTGTACCTTCTTAGCTTATCAATTACAGTGATTGGGATATTGACTTTGAGTAGGGAATGTTAGGACATGATTGGATCTTGTGATAGAAAGTAAGAATAGCTCATCGTATGTAATACTCAACAAGCTAGTATACTTTACTACAAGCTTACAGGAAAAATGTTTCATCCTTTTATTTTGTGCTCGATAGACTCGGCCCGGGTCAGCTGCCTTATAGAGCGAAACATATTCATTCCTATAGCTCATCTTATATACCTCATATTCACGTTATTATCAATCTACCTTTTTGTTTGTATTGATTCGTGATCAAAGGGACAGTTTCTATATTCCGTATTATTACAACCTGTTCCTGACCATACGTTTTTCTTGTACGATTTTAAAGCTTTTGTCGAGTATGAGTGTTGTGCCTTGTATTATTAAATCTAAAATAGCTAATAATTTAATTAATTATTAACAGGCCCCTTAACGTGGGCAATAACATACGCTTTGTAAATTATATGAACAAATTCAAGTCTATTTTTCCGATTTGCTAATTGTCTCTTTAGATGGTAGAAACTAAGTTATCTGCTTACCTAGCTCATAGGCTTCCTCAAACCTGTACATTCGCTAGCTGAAAGCCTTATTCAACGAAATTTAAAATCAAATTTTTGTGACTTAGTTAACTGTATTAATTCCTTGGTCTGAAATATAGTAGATCAGGTACATCTAACAAGTATAATACAACATTGGTTAAAGGGCAGGGATCGAACGGTTATACGGTAATATTTGGATAACTTTGTCACACTCCTAATACGATAGCTCTTTTCTACAGTGAGGTTTCCTCAAAACCCTTTTAACTTATTAAGTGATGGTTCTTCTATCGATTGCAGCCCTAAATTATGCTGTTTTGAATTGTTGCCTAATACACGCACTTGGTTATTGGGAAATGAGGTCACTGTTTACTTAGATATAACGACCAGCTAAAATAGTGTTAAGCAATTACCTCACATCTTCAAACTAATTCATTGTCAAACATGGATTCATATAATAAGATTTTCCAGCAAAGTCAGATGCAGGATGCCATACTTGCTGTGTCTACCGCGTCCGCCGCTGTAGGTACTACTTGGTGAATACGACTCACTCAGAAATCAGGACCTGAACTCGGACCTCATTGGACCGGATGATAGACTTCTATTAGTGGACGAAACTCTCATGAATAGTCTCCAGGGACGACTTTATAAATTCACACACAAGGCTATCTGGGGATGTAGGATACTGCTACCATCCGGAGGGCACATTATTAGAAACATGGTTAATACACTAGTGGAGTTGCCACCTATTGAGCACTGGGCTTTTTTAGCCAGGGCTGAATGCAAGGCTTCAGATCCTCCTCGGGTAGCATACTTCATCGCTCAGTTTGGTAACGAGAATTTTATTAAACCCAAGGAGGAAGTAGGACGAGATGATGACAACGCACGCGCAGTACCCTTTAGAGCTTACCTTCAAGAGAGGAACAAGGCTCATGCTGCTTTGTGTATTGTTCAAGGTCCCTCTAATCCTGACGTTTGGATTCACAGCCCGGAGTTATGTACCTGTATATAATGAATGGATAATGAGCAGGCCTACTCATTATCCATTCGTTATCCAGGTGCATACACTGAATATTCAACATGTCCATTCCTAGGGCTAGAGATCGTAGCTACTTTGAGCTTTTGAGCTCCTTACTTGTTATATTTCGATCCGAGGCATCATACACTCATATCAAACTTCTTGACTTTTAACCGTTCACATTTTGCACCGATAGACAATTTTACGTTTTTTAGCCGCTCATAATTTCCATCGACCTTTCA